TGGTAATAGTGTGTCATAATGGCATAATTGGACATCCACTCATGCTAACTGTCAGCTATTGAACCTACACAGGGAGTAGTCGCCAACATTAAAAATGCTATTATATCGAAGTGAGAATTTGCTGCAGTTTGTGTGTAACACTTTTTCAGGCACAGAAACAGAACGATTAAGCTAAATTAAACGTTTTTTTTAAGTAAATACGTTTGTGGTGTTAACATATTAATTTGTAATTATTTACGTTTAGCATCTGCTTTTGAGTTCCCTCACAACATGATGAGTTTTCTAATAAAATCGATATATGTGTGTTATGTTCCTCCACATGTTTACATGCAGTAATGCTCAAAAGGTCTTTATTCTTCTCATACTGCCTGTGCTGCAGCACCTCTTTTCACCCTCTGTCAGAAACCAGAGCCCAGTCTGCTCTGATTGTATGCTGGTCAGCTCTGTTGTGATTGGTCAACCACTTAAAGAGCCTCTAATGGCGCGTTTCCACTACACGGCCTCGCTCGGCCCCGCTCGGTATGGCTAGGCCTCGTTAGGACTGGCTCACTTTATGGCGCATTTCCATTACAGTTTAGGAACTGGGGCAGTATCTATAGTAACGCAGTGTAGGCGGAGCCGTGACGTGATCTTCAGAGGACCCCAGAAAAACAACACAGCCGTTAGCTGTTAGCACTCAGAGCTCACAGCTCCTCATATATGTTCAGAAACTAGACAAAAGTTAAACAAGTACAAACCACAGACTGTCTGTGTCATGGTGAATACAGTCGCTGCTTTATTTATGTCTGTATAGGCCGTTGTTGTGAGTGTGGACGGTCGGAGCATATACTGCGTTAGCTTAGCCAATCTCCATTTAGAAAACAAGCATTTTAAAAGGTTTTTCCCCTGCCGTCTGTCTGCAGACTTGACAAAGCATTAATTCATGGTTTTTACTAACCGGTATCAGTATGTTGTTACTTCGGCATCATTTTGAAACGTGTATTACAATTAAATCACGGTCAAATATGTCCATCTTGTTGTAGTTGTAGCCCCCTTGCCAGCGACGCTCTCTCTAGTTTAGCATACTCAGCCCGACTCAGCCTCGTTGTCTCTGGCCCTGGACCCACGATTTTATGAGGCCAGAAAAACTGTGAATTAGGACCCGCCGGCCGGTACTAGGCCAAGTGGAAACGCAACCAAAGACGGGCCGCTGACGTCACAGCCCTCTTAAACCGGGCATGTAGTGGAAACGCGCCATTAGCCTATCACGTACACTGTATTGGAGCGCTAGCCAATAGAAGCTTGGGTGTTACATAGCGATGTCATTATGTTACAGAAGTTATCAAAAGAGTCCAATGGAGGCATTTTAGTCAGGGGGGGGGGGGGAAGAAACTCCCTCTGGGATTTTAGCCTTTGCAGATGATTTACATCAGGGCTATTCAATTAGTTTGGAATGGGGCCGGTTGATGAAAATTATCCAAAGCAAGGGGCCAGGAAAAAGATGGCTTGAAATATGAGCAATCATATTTAAGAGCTTCAGATACAGTTAATACTACAACAGCATAGTGGAGTGCATATATTGTGTTTAATTAAATCAAACAACATAGCCCCAAGGCCTTTATAGATCTAAATGGCAAGTTCAGAACTCAGTAGGCCTACATGTGAAGCTAATTTAACCATCAACATCATTTCATTTGATTTCATTTAGGTGAAATGATCTAATCATTCACGCAGAGATGCAATAAATGACAGTTTGTCACTACAGTAGCAAGGTGGGTTCGAAACCAGAGCCCGCCGAAGTTTTCAGGCATTGTCTTCCCCTCTATCTCTCAATTTAACACCCTCTCTGGAATAAAAGCACTCTGGCCCAAAAAAAAATCAAAAAAAGAAAAGTAGTTCTAACATTATTCTCAAAGGGCCAGTAAATATCACCCCGGGGCCGGATTTGGCCCGCGGGCCGCCAATTGAATAGCCCTGATTTACATGCACAAAGACCTAAAGAACAAACTACAGGAAAGGGGAAACCTTAATAAAAACGTTGAACCCTTTAAATTAATCTGATGATTTCAAATTCAACTGCATTTGCAACAATCAGGTCTGCCAAAATCCCTGGAAGATTTACTGATCTATTTTTGCGTTTGCTTTGCCACTGTTGACAAGAGCCCCCCTCCACTTTAATTCCAGGTGGATTTGTTACTGTTGCTCCTGCAAGTTAAGCCTGGGTGTTTATATTTCCCGACACAGTTTCCACACAGATCATGTACAGCCGACAGATCAGCTTGCCTCACTTGTTGATACCCCCTCTTAGTGTGACATTCTCTGTCTGTCACCCACCAGACCTAGGTCAAGAATCATTTGCAGTTGAATATTACATTCCCTCATCTGCTTTGTGGCATTGGATGTTCCACAGTAAGAATTTTCACATAAAAATATATAAGTAGAAGATTTATTTCAGTCTTTCTGGTGATATCACTTTTTGTCATGCACTTTTGGTAAAACAAAGCATCAAAATTGTATATACTGTGTCACCCATAAAACAGTATTATTGTGCTCCTCCTCACGTAGACCGTCAGTGTCAGGAGACAGATCCTCTAATTGCTCCTCATTCTGTGTATGTATACTGGGTGTGTGTGGGGGTGGGCGTGTTGTTATTCCCCGGCAATGAAACGGACAATACCTCCTGCTGCGCTTCTGCTTTTTTGGATAGCAGCCCTCTTTTAAAGGGATTTTTTTTTTTACATCCTTCTCTCCCTCTTGTGTTGTCGGTTAGGAGTAGTGATGGTGGCAGGGGGCCAAGACAGATGACGGCCCCTGCAGGCAAGAGCAGAGTAAACTTGCTTTAAGGGCCAGTTCACTCCGTCAGGACAGCTTGTCTAATGGTCTTCGGTTAGCTGAGGGGGCTGTGTCCGATCATTCCTGTAACCTACGATTTGACATTCACACCCACTTACCGGCCTGATTGGCCAGCTGCGCAGAGGTTAGAAAGAACGTTGGGTTTCTCTTCAGCCCTTTTTTTTTTTTTTTTTACAAAGAAGCTATTCCTGGCTCTTTTCATGTGAAGAGCTGAGAGCAGCACTGCATTTCTTCCTGGAGAAACTGTCTGAAAATGTGGAATGATATCCCAATTTGTAACCACATTGCATCTCCCCCTTATGACGGCTGGCTTTTCACTCTTGAGTTAGGTCATTCTCAACAACAACAAAAACGTTGGATAGTGTGCACGGACACATGTCGCACAACCAACTTTCTCTCGAGCAAAACCCTTCCCTCGGGGGGGGGGGGAAGAGGAGGCGTGAAAAGGAAGAAAGCCAGACGTTCGGTTTCCCTTAAACCATGTGACTGTGTGTGTGAGAGACTTTCTGTCACAGACAACTGCCTGAGCAGGTTACTAACCGCAGGGCTTCCCTCTTCTATCTGGCTATTAGACATTCCCTCTTTTGTCTCCCTTAACATGTGAGTGATGTCTCCCAAGTGAGTCTCATTATTGCATGTTTCAGAAGCCCTAAAGACAGTTGTCTTCTGTTCTGGTTTCTGTTCAGACAGAACCCATAGCAATTATAACACCCTGAGTACTATAGGTTTATACAACTGTTGTGGTATTTGTCTTTGACCCTACTATTCCACTTTCAGCATAAGAAAACTGATATTTGATGATGTTTGTACAATTTTTCTATGCATTTGCAGTTGGCTTATCTCCTGCCGTCCATTTGCCTGAAGTGGTCCAGAAATCCATTTCACATTTTCCCTTTCACACTTGCAAAATGGTGAAGGTACACAGTGTGCTCTTAGAGATGGGGCATTTTGGGCTAGGGTGGGGTCGGGCGGTGGAAGGATCCTTGAAATCAGAGCCATTGGGGCTTGAGGAAAGCCCTTTGGATCTGAATCAGCTATATATGTATTGCATGAAAACATAGAAATGTAGAACAAAGAAAGTGTTTGCCAAAAATACTTTCACACATACTAAATCATGTCCCTTAAAGGGGGGGGTAGGTAATTTTGGAGAAACCAGCTCGAGTGCGCTAGAATTTGAAAATACACAGCCGGAAAAAATCTGCCACTTCCTTACAGAGCCCCTCCTCCAACACACACGAACGCGCACATGACCAATGAGGGCACGAGATAAGTTTGTGCACAGATGGAAGGCTGACAGGCAGGTAGGCCATCCAGTTATTTTAGCCGGGCCGGCTAAAATGATTGATCGTGCTTTTTACAGTACTACGGCTTCCACAGATGACATTTTTTTAAGATATTCATTGCTATCGGGATGTTAAGAGCATTCCATGGAATATAACAAAAAGTGTATCTCGAGATGGTTTCTGAAACTTACCTACCCCACCTTTAATGTTGTCGAGTCAGCAATATTTAGATTTAACACGATACGATACACTTTGTTGTCCCGTCAGGTCATTTGTTTTGATCTCGTTACATTCAATTCAATTCAATTCAAGTTTATTTATATAGCCCAAAATCACAAATCCTATTTGTCTCAGAGGGCTTCACAAGTCAACAAACAAAATTGGCAATGTAAAACAATGTAAAAACAACAAACGTAATTTAAAAAGGAACATAACACAATGACACAAATACAGTTAGAGTACAATAAAATTCCATCAAACGAAGGGTCCATGAGGATGTATAAAAGGGGGTTTAAAACCAGTCTTAACTGTACGCTGTACTAAAGAGGAAAGTCTTTAACCTACTCTTAAATGTGTGGACACTATCTGCCTCCCTAATCGTCACTGGAAGTTGATTCCAGAGGAACGGGGCTTGGTAGCCGAAAGCTCTAGCACCTGATCTTATTTTGTGGACTCTGGGAACCACCAACAGACCTGCACTCTGGGATCTTAATGCCCTAGAGGGGCAATAGGAGATTAAAAGATCCTGTAGGTAGGATGGTCCCTGACCATTGAGCGTGACTACATAAAGTATGAAACAAATGATCTGAGCATCTCTTTTCCCTTACTAAGAGATCTTTTAATGTCCAGTTGTGTTTGAGTTTTCCTAAACGCACCTCTCTCCAGGATCCCTCGGGTTCAGCCATCTCTGGACGACCGGATCTTCCCCTCACAGCCCGGAGTCGCTGCAGTCTACAGTGTGAGTCCCTGCCCACAGACCCTCTCCCAAACATATCCACCGGTATGCTGCAGTGCATGCACATCAAAATACACACTCCAGATACAGAATACACACACGCAGAGACTTATATCTATTGTATGGACTGAATGTAGTTGCAAACATTTGACTGTAAAAACACACACACAGTTGCTAGATTATTAGGTACACCTGGATAAAACTGGCTTATGCAACACTCCCTTTTATAAAGGTTGCATTGTTTGTTTAAACTGTTTATTAGAGATGTTGATTTATGGTAATATTTGAAGCAGTTGCATCTTACCGAGAGGTGTTTCTAATATTTAGTCTACCCTCATTGATATGGGCGCACTAAATATTAGAAACTCCTCTCACAGAACAGTATAACCATGATAATTATGCCCTGATGTAGTTTTCATGCCACTCCCACAAACATCAACGTATGAGGTGATTCTTTGCTGTTTTTGACCTGACCACAGAGCGCCACAGACATTGCTGTTTTTTTGAGGCAGAGCGCCCAACTGAAGTTCAGTGCAGGAGAAACGCACCAGTTTCCTCCTAAGAACATTGTAACTTTTATGAAGGTAGGATTTATTGCATTTGTTTACAAAGTGTAATCGCCTTTAAGTGTACCTGATGAACTGGCAACTGAATGTGTGTTGACTTTAAATATGTGTTTGCGGTTTGGTACCATGCAAGATCACAGTGCCTGTAAAACTGCTCGCCACCTCTATATTTTTTATGTTTTTTTTAACTTTGTGTCACAGATTATTTTGAGAACAATATATTTTAACGCTATTCACTCTCTGCAGCGTTTACAGGCACTGTAAACATGCATCTTTGGGGGTTTTATTTATTGCGTAAAGAAGAAGGCATGCTTGTTAAGACATTATACTGTGACCTGACTGCTGGGGAAATGTGTTACCTTTGCCATTCACCGTCTCCCTCCAGGAGTTTATTAACATTTCCTGTATTATGGTCTTTGTCATCGTTTGTGTTGTATTTATATATTGTTGAAGGAGCACTATTATTTTTGGCCACAGAAAAAAACAAAACACATTTCCTCTGAAATGTTGTCCTTGGCTGAACCATGGACTTGCCATTCATGTGTGTCAGTGACCAGCCACACCTACTGTATCCCCTAAAGACCAAAAGAAACCTGAAATAGCCTCATCCCTTCCCTCTGAGGACACGACAGTCACCATCTGGTAGTGGGCATTATGCTGTGATAAGAGTCATGTGGAGCACTGCAGTTTGCAGACCCTGGGACTCTGATCAGCCACATGTGCATTTTTCTTTGTACCATACTTGGCTTTGTAAGATAATGATTAGTGGCAACCCATCATTAAATGTTTACTAGTGAAATTACAAGAAATAAATATTGATTTTCCTTTCACTACACATTTTATAGATTTTTTTTTTTCTCCACAAAATGAACTGAGCTGGCTCAATAAATATGGTGCTCACTGAGACTTCCTCCACATTTTCATACTGACATTGTAGTGGTCATTTGTGGGGAGAATATTGGCTAGTGTGTGTTTGATTGCCCTGTGCTGATGTTTGATCTTTTATGAGCTTTGTAGTATTCTATAGAATTGCCACTTTGGTTATTTGAAACCACAAAGAAGATGATTTCAGTTATGATTTCTGTTGCACAGCATGTATAGCTGCACAAGAAAAAAGCCGATGTATGCCTAAAGAGACAGAGATTATCTACTGTAACAACACCACTGGAAACACTGCAGGTTTTATGAGATGTTCTACCTCTGGAAGTTCATTTTAAATGCGATAGGCTGCAACAATGATGACACTGGTGGAAATAAATCCCATGGCATGAAACGGTTGTTCTCTGCAGTGGATGTAAAGCTTGTACACCCCCCCCCCCCTCCCCTCCCCCCTTCTCTTCATGTACAGCTCCTATACAGCCGCTTGCCTCCCTTCCCCCACCCCATCACTCTGTATGTCCTCAGAATCTCTCACTGGCCTGGAGCAGTGCAGGCTCCTCCCCTGGCAACAGCGGCTAGATTAGTTGCTACATCCCAGGTCATCTGAGGGAAGTAGGCCACACATAGTTTATGGAGAGAAGCAAAAGGAATTGATAGAATCTATGCAGAGTAGTGTCAGTAGATTTGAATATAATGCATTTTAAGGAGAAAGCCCTTAATGTTAGTTTTAGCGTTGGAGCTGTGAAAGCTTTAATAGCTGAGTGTGTAAAGAAAAAGGGAAAAAAAGCCTGGCTGGAGAGAACCGTGGGCTGCCCAGCTTTCATGGCCGTCTCAGTGCCTCCTGCTTTCTTCCTGCTGTATCCTGTCTCAGTCCCTGGTGTGTGTGCGTCTTGCTGCAGAAACAAGCAGCACCTGCAGTGTTGCCAGCCAGCAGCTCCAGCAGCCAGGGCCCATCCCGCCACGAGTCAAATCCCATCTCTTCCTCCTGATAGTGCCCCCCCAGGCTGGGGATGAACCCCTGAGCCCTTTTTTGGCCCATATTGATGAGACTTATTCGAATGACTCAGTTACTCTATTGTGTCCGAGGGCACTTAATTTGTCGCACATGAGTTGGATCGTGATGTGATTGCTTGACCCAGTTATGCCATATGAGGCCCAGGCATCCTTGCACAGCATAGTTGGGCACAGCATGCTGCAGGAGAGGCCAGAGAGTGTCAGCCAACCCCTGCAGACTCCCAAATCACTCTGCAGGTCCTCACCTCTGCACACATACAGGGGCTAATCCTGGAGCTTTAGCTTCATTTAAATTCCTCAACAGGGGAGAGGACTAATGACCTGTGGAATCCAGATTCTCTTTCTGTTCCTCTTCTGCATCAGTGCATGTGTGTGTGGCATAGTATCTTGTTTTGGGTGTCTGTATATCTAACCTGACTGTTTTATGTGATACAGGTACCCAGGCACGCTGGCCCTCCTTACACTGCTCATGACATCACAAAGGGACACCCTAACTTGGCGGGCACACCACCCGGCCATGCCCACTCCCCGGCGCTCACTCAGGTATCCCTTCCCACAGCTTCCCAATATCGCTATGCGAAGGGCTGGGAGGCAGGCGGAGGGGTGAGTTTATCAGTGTGTCTGCCTTTAACCTCAATGCATGCTCATGTTTGATCTGTCCATCTGTTTGCTTATTTTGTATGACTTGTGATAGGGCTTGGATACAATTCAACATTACAATTTAGTTTCCCCCAATATAACCCCATCATCACAAACATTAAAATAAAGATAGTGTGATTTACTTATCTTAACGTTTTTTTTTTTTTTTTTAATTAATGGGCAGGATTTCGAAATGATAGCATTCTTTTTTTCAACAAAAAAGAAAAATCCGACCTAGACAAACATGCATCTCCTGTATTCTTCATACAGTCCTAATTAGTTTAGAGTGCAAACCAAGCATGCATGTTGCTAAATAGAGATAAATACTGGTTGATACTGGGCTGATTCATATGGACAAACACGTTTAAATGTATGTGACCTGTTTAGATTAAAACTACGTTAGGAAAGCAGATCGCCTTGAGGATTAACACTGGTTTGAACCCAGTACCCTCTTGCTGTGTGGTCGTAGTGCTAACCTGCAGGGAGTAACCAAAATCTAAAATAGTTTTTAAATGTTGGAGCCAATTTTATGCCCCTGCAGCTGAAAAAAGTCCTCTGCTAAACTTCATTGCCATCAGTTTAACATAATTAAAGCATTTTTATGTTTAGACCTCGATTATTTGTGTAAAAAAGTTGAAAATAATGAATCAGGATAGGGAATACGTTAACAGGGGATGTGGGTGTAACCATCTGTACACTACCTGAGGTTAAGGGCAGAAGCATAGTGCTTAACCTGGATTTAAGTAAGATTATTGACTGGATGTTATGGATTTGAGGGATTACAACCATGATCCCAGGTTGACCTTCTCATCATAGAAATACAGGATACCAATTACAAGATTATTAAAGAATATAATAATTACAATTAGACATGGTCAGGTAAGGGTTAACAATATGGTAGACATCGAATTGGGATGTCTTTCTCCTGCCATAACTAGAGTGAGATCTATACACATGCAATGGAGATAGAATAAGGCAATGAAAAAACAAAAACTGAAATCAATCAAGGCTGAATATGATCACAAGAAAGATTAACTCAATCGTCACCTCTGTTTGGTTAAGGCAGCTTTACATACTCTGGGTAAGCTTACGCAAAAACGAAATGAATACAGTCAAACAGTTAAATCGAAACCCTAATTCCTTGTCAAACAGTGACACACAGCTGTGATGTTGTGTGAGTCACACATTGACTCCGCTTCCCTGGAAGTATGTGACTTGTGTTTGTTCCACTTTACTGCCTAATGACCTACTGCCTCACCTTAAAGCAGCTCTAGTCTCCCTCTCACCTTCTATCGATATTGTTGTCAGCCAGCGCAAACTTAAATGATCTCCGCCATACCAGCAGCCACCGCTTAGAGACGAGTAAGCAGATCTGCCTAAACCCACCTCTGCCTAGCCCCACTGCACACTAGATGAAGAATATAGCAACACAGGATTTACAGTCCTTTAGGGCAGGGGTTCCCAAACTTTTCAGCCTGCGACCCCCAAAATAACAGTGCCAGAGACTGGCGACCCCTGTCAACCGGGGGGCGGGGTTCTAGTAAATTAATTAATTAATTTAAAGGTCCCATGTCATGCTTTTCTGGTTATTACCCGTCCCCTTGTGTGTTATGTCTTCTTGGGTATAGTGACGTATTTCGGGTATAGTGACGTGGAGCCGTTACGTTTGGACCAATCCACGGACTTCCTCACACACACACACGGTGGGACGTTGCGAGGCTCGCGGCTGCGAGGACCGGGACACTGTGAGCTGGCTCACTGGTGTGGGGTCAGCGAGACACCGCGGAACTCAGCCTGGGCACACACACACAAACTCCCAAACAGGCTGCGGGTGTGTGTTTCGCGCTGGGTTTCGCTGTGTCTCGCTGTGTCTCGCTGTCTCGCAGGCGGCCACTGGGCTCACAGGGAGTGGGGGGGGGGCAGGAGCTCCAACAAGCCGTTTTTTTTTTAAATTGCACAATATAAATCTATTTTAGTATTCCTCAACAATGGAATTATGATCAGTAGAAATGGCCCATGACATGGGACTTTTAAGTTTTCCGCACTCTCGCGGGAATATCTCCGCAATGGAGAGAGTTTAGCCCAGCGCAACACCTTCATCACACATCACCACTTGTTTGTAATATTTTCTGGCGATTTGTAATCTGTTCTAGAAAAACGATGTGTTTTTTAGGATTTCAAGAAGCATATAGAACAAACAATGGATGTATTTTATGAACATTTATCCATGCTGAAAGTAGATTTAGATGTTTTAGGAGTTAGATAGAGATTATTATCTAATATATGCATCCGATGAAGCATTGCATGACGTCTGTTGATGATCAGAGGCTGTTGTTGGGGCTGCATAAACGTTTTTTAATTTTTGTTTTGTAGGCAGACCATGCAGGCCAGCCCGATGGTCACCAAGGTTCATGTTTTAATAGCATTTTTACCAAAAAAGCACAGGCGAGCCTAACATGTGAAAAAAATTGCTTAGACCTTAGAGAGTTAAACTTGGGCCTGCGACCATAGTTTTACTGTATTTTGTTTTGAAAATCCACAGCGGAGGTTTGTGTCGTAGCCTACTATGCAGTGTGTTTTGCATATCTCTCAGTAGCCAACGATCTGTGAGTCTGTTGGCTCGGACATAAACTCCGTAATAAATGTAGTCTACATTTCATAAGAGGTGTAAAACCTGAGAGCATTTTAAATCGCATTTGAACTAAAGGTTTATATAATCTGTAGTTGTATTTGTATTGTTGATTTATTGTGTGAACGAGGCGATGTAGGGAAGGTTAAGCTGTCATTATTAGGCTGTTATGTACTGTTGGAGTGGTAAGCAGGCCTATTGTTTTTGGATATTTGTGGAGTTAGGTGGTCCGTGAGTGTTTTTTTTATTGATTAAGTGTCCTTGGTATGAAAAGGTTTGAGAAACACTGCGCTAGTGGATTATCAACGGGGGGAGCCTCGCTGCTGGTAAATTATACAGATGGCCAGTATGCCCCTGAACATTTTTTATGCACACGTTATTATTAATAATAATAATAATAATAATAAAAATGTATTAAAAAGATTGATAATTTTGGAATCATCTCGCGACCCCCACTTTGGGAACCCCTGCTTTAGGGTACCAATTATCTTTGCGCAACACATTAACCCCAGCTGAAAACATACCAGAAACATCTAAGTGTTGCTTGTTAAATGTGAAATGTCTTAATGAAATTAGGATTTTTGCACAGTTCCTGTCTGTATCTTAACACACGGTCTCCTCCTCTGTCTTTCTTTCTCTCTTTTTCTTTTTCTCACAGTCTCCATACAACCCTGGACTAAATGCTGGTTCCGCCCCTTTAGTGTATTCTCCCCAGACGCAGCCAATGAATGCACAGCCACAAAGTCGCCCGGTGAGTGTCCCTCTGCTGTTGGATTTACAGCTCTGCTGCCTCCAAGTACAAGAGTTTGGTCTTTACTGTGGCTTTAATTGAGAGTTGGGAGATGTCATTGACTTACTGACCTGGTGTTTAGATGCCACAAAGAGCTTGATAAATGTTGAAAAATCTAAACCTGCTCATGTCAGTGAAGCACAAGCTGTACTTTTTTATTCAGATCTCCTTAACTTTACAGACTTGTGGTGTGTGGTTTGGGACATTAGTAAACACTGGTGTAATCATTTCCCCTTGTTACGCAATATTAAAGTTAAAAAGTCAGAGTCCCTGTCTTACATTTAAAACTATGAAAAGCCCACTAACAGCTTTTAGAAAACCTCACACCATGAGAAGACATTTTGAATATTATATATACTTTGCCAGCATTTTCTGTACTCGCACACCTATTATTTATGAATCTTGCCTGGCTCCTGCCCAGCCCCCATCAGCAGAGCAAGGCTAACCAGACCTCAGGAGTCTTGTTTTAAGCCGTGTGGTTACTATGGGAAGGATTCCTACATAGGAAACAGGATATTATTCTAATCCCACTACAGTATGCAACACGGCATACAGATTACTCTTTGCAAGTCACAATTGGGAATCATAATATTTAACCTTGCAAATACAGACCTTGACTTGGCTCTGAGAGCGGCATCACGTACCAGGTGAAGTCTTGTGTGGTTTTGTTCTGTATTTACCGGCCTCATCGCTCATCTTATCTGTGTCTCTCTTATGCTCTTTCTTTCTCCCTGCTTTGCCATCACTGCTTCAATCTCCTTGCTGGACCTGTCCTCCCTCCCCCACCAGTTTGCCACGGGCCCTCGACCAACCCACCATCAGGTAATTTACCCCCGCTGAACACCCCTCCTGCTCCCTCTCTTGCATCATCATCATCAAAGCAGTTTTTAGCTGGTACCTGCTGGCAAGAGGGCTGTTTACGGGACGTCTGCCATTCCTTAAATAAAAAAAGTAGTCTCCGATTTGCAAAAGCTTCAAATGTCTTGGATACAGTTGAAGAGGTTTTAATTATCATGGGCGGTTTTTCTGAGCGTGCTGCTATTTAATCCACATATCCAGCCAGGTGCACAGCGCAGTTTCCTGGCGGGTGGGTTTCTTGCACTATTCATGTTTATTTTTATGGTGAGATTGATCTGAGTTCATTTCCAAGAATTGAGTTGCAATTGAATATTCTTTAATCAGGTTCAGATGTAATGAAGCCTAAGCTTGTCTTTGGGCTCTCAGTTGAACAGGTTATCCTTTTATTCACAGGAGCTTATATCGTTTTCTTAAGGAATACAAGACCCTTTACATGATGACTTAAATATTGATCTAACATTTAAACGAACAGGAAATGACTAGTCTCTCTGTGATAATGGGTTTACCATTTGCACACGTGTTTAGAGCCTATGGTTGTTAGCTATTAAAAGAAGAAAAGGTGAAAAATAATAAGTAGAAGCTTAATTATTGGAAAAGATAATGTACTTGCCAGTCAGAGTGCTTTCAATTGCATGTGCCATGCACACACCTAACTACTACCTTGAGTTAATGGTGCTAGACCTCTGCAGGGCACTTCCATGCAGCATTATTACTGTATTTGTTAGTGTGTGCGTAAGTGTCTCGATAGTGTACTGCTAATCAGTTTTTTTTTTCTCTATTATTTTTAAGGCATAAGTATAGTTGATCCAAGCATAATAGAGCCATTATTTGCAATGATTCTATTTTTTAAGGATATTTGGCTGTGATATCGCCCTCATGAGTCTTATTTGTTACCAGTAATTACACCAAGGTAGTGTAATTTTAAATTGGCTGTTTTATTGATGTTTGGGCAAGAATTGTGATTTGTACACAACTACATCTGCAAGCCACATTCCAGATGAACCAGATGAAGTGGTCCTAATAGTTGTTCTTAAAATGCTGAATATTCATATAGTATAATCAAGTGGTGGTCTTAAAGTGGACCTATCATGCTATATTTAAATGATATATTGTAGGGCCATACCTATATAAGGTATATTTATACGTTTCTGTTTTCAAAATACCAAACAGATCATGCATTTTAGCCATGCCTCATTTCGCTCTATTTGCTGTTCTCCAGCCCTGTTTTTGCAGGGGGCTGATTCTGTGAGCTGCAGCTGACCACGCCCCCCTGCAGGAGAGGGGAGCTCTGATCAAGTCAGAAGAGGGGGAGAAAAATAGATCTCCGTCCTCCGTGTTTTATTATAGCCTATTATTATATAGAGTCGTTATTCATTTGTTTTAAAGCTCAATAAATAACAAAGAAGACCTTTGACCGGCACTTTTCTAATTTTGTCCGGAAGATTTCAACTTTAACGGACATCTTGACCGGCGAAACAAACTGAAACTGAAACTCTGCCGTACGGTCCCCTCGTTCCTTGGAAGAGGCAGAGAGGTGGGTGTTTGTCATCTGCTGGTGGACTAACCGGAGAGAATTACAGTGCTTGCCTCGACGGGGAGGGATTGCATTGAATTAAAGCAGCAGGAGGAGCAAACACTTGCCTCGGGGAGGGAGAAAAAAAGCCACAGCGGAGAATAAACAAAAGCGTAACCATGGTAACCATGCGCGGGAAGTCTTCTTCGCTGCTTTTGTGACAGACTACAGCGCCACTTACAGGCCTGGCATATGTACTACAGCGTCTCCAGCGCTTTCGAGCGGCAATGGCCGGCCGTGGCCCAACCCCACATTCCCCTGATAGGTGGAGAGTTGGCCCAATAGCCGTAGCGCCACCGTCCTGACGTCAGGACAGTGTTCAAATCTGGATCAGTTTTTATCAGATCCGTTGCAGCCCCTTTTTTAGAGATTTGGGTATGGAGGAAAATAGAGAGGGTTGTGTTTTCTGACACTTGGTGAGTTCCCTGGAACACCGGGGACACATATTCATGTATAAAAGACGTACAAAAGTGCATTTTGCATGATAGGTCCCCTTTAAGTTTTCAGAACAAAGAGAGCCAGTGTTAAAGGTAGAAGGCTCCGTCTGTGAGTTTCCTGTTAGGCATTTGACACATTGTGAACCAATGTCATTAGATTATGAAGGGCCTGTTGGTGTGTTCCTGTCTGGCAGTGGTTTATTTATGGTGCGGTTTGTGGTTCACCTTGTGGATGCTAAGAGTTGCTGACATTCAGTACATGTTACTTCCTGTTATCTTTTGTAGTTGTTTATTCATACCGTAATGTTTCATGCCGCTGCCAAGTCAAGATTGATGTGTTATTCCCACCCCAAGATGTTCCTTGTGTAACTTGTTGTCTAACATCCTCACCTTCTGGATGCTTCTGTGTGGACAGCCTTTTAACAGACTATTAATAGTGTCGTGTCAAAGTGTGTCGGGTGTGTTTGCCCGTGGGAGTTCGTACAAACACATTTACACACATACAAGTGCATGCTCTGGCTGTCACAAACTGGCGCTGGGATCACTTGTGCCACCACGGAAGTGGATTCGGAAAACAGATGAAGCCAAACAGTAGCCTTTTATACCGATGGTGAAAACAGCCATTGTCCCCCTGAAACACACTCAATGCACAGTAAAGGCTACATAGAGATCAGAAAATGCATTCATTTGGCTAAAGCATAAGTCGGTCTTCAAACAAGGGTCATCATTATTAAAAAAGATTCCCTCCACTTATGCATGAAACTGACGTTTATGGTCACAGCAAGTGGTTATTACACTAACACAAACAACTGTTGTTTAATCCAGAGAGCTATTCAGAGTGTAAATAACACTATTAAGTATTTTCTCTTGGTTGGCCCCAAGTAGCAGAAATGTCACATAATCATTGGACCTTAAAAAATGTATTCATTTGGCATTTCCATCTTTACAATCCCGCTTCAACCCTGTATGCTGGCAGTATTTGTGGTCAACATTTCATATTGTTTACCCTTTGCAAATCACGTACAGTGTGTTGGAACGCTAATTACATAGTGATGTCATAATGTTACTAAAGTAAACAAAGGTGTCCAATGGAGGCGTTTCAGGTGGGGGGAGTGTGTGGGAGAGAATCTCCCTCTGGAGGGAACTTTGGGATTTTAGCCTTAACAGACCATTTACATGCACAAAAACCTATTTAACACACAACAGGGAACGGGAAAAAAGCATTGATTTATATCATCCATTTGAGCTGCCAGGCTATCAGGGCGTTTCCACTACACGGCCTCGCTCGGCCCCGCTCGGTATGGCTGGGCCTCGTTAGGACTGGCTCACTTTATGGCGCATTCCCATTACAGTTTAGGAACTGGGGTAGTATCTATAGTAACGCAGTGTAGGCGGAGCCGTGACGTGATCTTCAGAGAACCCCAGAAAAACAACACAGCCGTTAGCTGTTAGCACTCAGAGCTCACAGCTCCTCATATATGTTCAGAAACTAGACAAAAGTTAAACAAGTATAAACCACAGACTGCCTGTGTCATGGTGAATACAGTCGCTGCTTTATTTATGTCTGTATAGGCCGTTGTGGACGGTCGGAGCATATACTGCGTTAGCTTAGCCAATCTCCATTTAGAAAACAAGCATTTTAAAAGGTTTTTCGCCTGCCGTCTGTCTGCAGACTTGACAAAGCATTAATTCATGGTTTTTACTAACCGGTATCAGTATGTTGTTACTTCGGCATCATTTTGAAACGTGTATTACAATTAAATCACGGTCAAATATGTCCATCTTGTTGTAGTTGTAGCCCCCTTGCCAGCGATTCTCTCTCTAGTTTAGCATACTCAGCCCGACTCAGCCTCGTTGTCTCTGGCCCTAGACCCGCGATTTTATGAGGCCAGAAAAACTGTGAATTAGGACCCGCCGGCCGGTACTAGGCCAAGTGGAAACGCAACCAAAGACGGGCCGCTGACGTCACAGCCCTCTTAAACCGTGCTCCGCGCTGTAGTGGAAACGCGCCATAATACCTATCAACCCCCCCTCACTGGCAGAGAACACTTTGTGGCGCAGGGACTGCACAATTTGAGAAAAGTAATACCAGTTGGAAGTAAAGTGTGTGTTTGGGTGAGACAGGATTTGGTGGACGGAGGATATAAGTGCAACCGTGCATGTTATGTCAGGGTGGCAAATGCTGATGTGACATTTTCACTGAAGCTTTTTTCCACTTTGCCACCCACCCCAAGGACACACTTTTCTATTGTTCGAGGTATTGTTGCCAATCAAAGTGGCTCAGGACCAGTTTCAGTGTCAGGTAGAGGGATATAATTGGGTAGTTTCCTGCCTTGATGTGTGTGGGTGACTGATTGCCTGCTTGTGTTTTGTATTGAGTCACCAGTACCAGTCTCCCATTGGCTTTTTCTCTCTTTCCTGCTTTCAAAACTCAAGGGAGGATTCAGGCCCATCCAGGTAACATTAACCTCTCTTTTTAAAAGTCTCCCTGCAGACCTGCATGGCATGATGAGGATCATCCTCAAATGATCCCGTTCCTCCTGACTTCTATCCCCATGCACCCCCTCATCTTCACCCCAGTGTATGCTCAGTAGACAGATCAATGTATCATCATTATTTCCTGTCTTTTATGTAGAGGATCATTACTGCACCTTCATCATTTTGTAGTTTTCCCTCCATTCATTACTCATCTTTAATTAGCCTGCACAATTGAATGAACAGCATGCGGAATGAAAGAGACAAGTGTATTTTCTGTATCACCCATGTAATAAGAATGTGTCTGTTAATGTCTTGTGCCAATTGGAGGTATGTATGGTTTCAGTGTTGCTGGAGAGCGCACTTATTGTTTCAGTGATTCCTTTCAGCCCAAGTTACAAAGCACTTCTTTTTGTTGACAGTGTTGAAAAGTTGTTTTGTCTGTTGACTCATATTTCTTGCTTTGACAGCGATTTTTACCGAGACTGTCTTGAGGGTAGCTTGTAATGAACAGCTTCCTGGTCCTTTCCCAAATATCCACAGGGCTATTTGCAATAAAGCCATTAAACCTGATTTATTATGTTAAAGGTGATTTCCCTCCTGGGTATTTTTAGAGATCTTTACAGCATTGTTTATTCTTTCTTTCACTGGAGCCCAGTGTGACTGCGCTTGGGATATTCCCAGCATGAGCCCTTAGTTGCTTGGAAGTCAGTCAGCTGTTGGTAGTAGTCAGGCGCGTCCAAACACAAAACCTGCCCATTAATAAACGTTTTAACTGGTTGTGACGTGCTGTATTGAAAAGTAGCTGCATTCACTAAGAGTGTGTTTTATGTGAGGCTTGAGAAAAGGCCATATTGCTGCCTGATGAAGAAAGCCATGCTGTCACACATTCAGCACAACTGCAAAGTTGGCCAAGCTGCTCACACACACATAAAAAGGTATTCAAAGCCATTCAGCTGGCCAAGAGTTTTTATTTTATTTTCTACAGCTGTGTGCAGCTTGTTTACAGTCGGCAGGCTGGCCACAATAATACAATTAAAAGAGGCAGCTGTGTGTAAATGAGCTTTTAGTTGTGCTCCTGATGAGTAGGACGGCACTTTCATCATTGTATGAATGTTGACTTGTAGTGTAAAGAGCTTTGAGTTGTTGGGAGACTGTTACACATGTAACATGTATAAATATGAGGAGGTTGAAATTATTCATTTTAAAAACAGATTTTACATCGTAGCGATAACAGGCATGGGATATCCAGCCTCGTTGTTAAGAAGGTATAACGGTGAAGAGATTTGGCAACAGACCAGTGAAATTAGAAGAGATCATAGCTAATAGAAAAAAGATGTGTTTCCAGCCTGATATTTAAAGTATCAACAGAGCTTGCCTCCCAAATGTGCAGCTGGAGGAGGGCAGCTGTGTGGGCAAAGGCTCGACCACCAAAAGAGTTCTTATTAAATCGAGGAATGGTAAAGTAACCAGCATCAAGGGGATGTAAAGGGGTGATTAAGTGTATGGGGAAATAAAGCTGGATATATTTGAGGCAGCCACTTCATTAAAAGCCTTAAAGGTAAGAAGGAGGCTTTTGAAATCAGCTCTTGCATGAAGTGGTTAGTTAAACCAGAGGAATCGTCACCGGTGTTATATGGTCCAACTTTTTAGATTGTGTCAGCTGCATTTGGGACCAGTTAGAAACCTGTTGTTCCTGACTAGGATCAGTAGCTTATATGTAGCCTGGCTTTTCAATCTGTTGTTGCTTAACTATTACGTTCTCAAGGTGTTTAAACAAATTCAGCTCACGATACCTGAAACGATACTGAAACATTACAACAACTCAATGTTTTGCAGCTAGCCTCCATTCAGTTAGTTAAACGTTAGTTAAACGTTAGTGAAATGATCAACCACTTCAACCATTTATATATGTCTGCCTCCCTCGCATCTTCATAATGATAATAACAAAAACATCAAAATAACCTTCATGAAGAATACATTGTGAAGGTCTAGAATAATTGTGACAGTTCATTCTGATTACTGTTTTTGTTTCACGGCTTATGTGCCGTGCTTTTTACTAAATTGTTCCTCAATATGATTTAATGATGCTTTTAAAGCTTCTATTTAGTCCATCCTAGGCTTGTAGGAGGAAGTATTTAGGTGTCTAAACAAAGAGCGGTGCTCCCTGCTTTGTCCATGTCATGTATCTGATTCATGATAGTGCTTGCCAGTTAAATACAGTTTTAGATGTTAAGTAAAGCAAATCATGGTGGAAATTACGGATTAAAAAGGCATTAAATAGTAGTATAAAAGTGTGCATGGCTGCCTAGAAATCATTTAGCCTTTCATCCCTCAGTCTGAATGAGAGTGTAGAGGAAGTAGCGGTGCTGGGCTTTTCTTTCCCCTCGTTTTGTTTTTCCACTGCTGATAGAAACCAGGACTGTCTCACTGTGAGAAATGTGTAGGCCAAATGGTGGAGACATCTAAGAAAAACAGTACCTGTTTGTGTTTTAGACAAAGCATGGCAGCATGTGGAAGTGAGACGGCCGCCTCCTGGATAGCACTAAATGTCTCTTGTTGTTCCTCTGGGTTTTCTTCACATGTTGCCTTCAGTTTTTCCAGAGGACTCAGATGCAGACTGCGAGGCCCACCATCCCTACTAACACCTCCTCCTTACGGCCCGGCTCCCAGACGCCTACAGCAGCTGTCTACCCCACCAACCAGCCCATCATGATGACCATGGCCCCCATGCCTTTCCCCTCCCCACAGGCTGCTCAGTACTACATCCCACAGGTGACACAGGCAGACTGAACTGGGTCTTACAATTACATTTGGTCCTATACCTCAGTTCGAGCTATAGTTATGCGTGCACATCACTTCTAAAAATATGATTTGATTTTGTATTTATTATGATGAACGCAGATTCTGAACATTTAGGATTAACAAAATGTTCAATTTCAAATATGATTTGTATTGTATTGAGTAACTAGTGAGAACATGTTCTTTGGCTGTAATCTGTTCAATCATCATGGATTGAACAGATTGAAGGACAATATTTGAAGTCATTTTTTATGTTTTATGTTTTGCATTAGATTTGAGTTAGATGAGAAGAATGAAGCCAACCGTTTGTTAAATGTCTGATGCTTCATATAAACAGTTAGCTTACCTTAGTACAAAGTCTGGAATCAAGGATAACCTCTCATTTCTATAATGTTACTGCACTTGGCCAAGAAATAGTCCAGAACACAATGCCCGTAAAACCACAATATTACGTTTTACACTTTCATTCGGAGACAATAATATGATAATTGAGCTTTACGAGTCCTGGCTGCCAGATTTTGTTATGTTTTAAAAAGGATAGCTGTTTCCCCAATCTCCTGTTTTGGTGCTACAGTAGGCATCACATTGAGCAGGTATGAGAGTGGTATCATCTAAATGTAACATAGGAAACACACCTATCCATACCTCAGTTCCTGCTATGTTTATGTCTGCTATTGAATGTATAAAAGATAATCTAATTTAACTTCTGTAAAGCACCTGCAATTATCTTTCTTTTGGTGCTGTTAAGATAGAGAAATCCTCTCTGGCTGCTGCTGGTATGGGTTAGATTTGACTGACTTCTAGGAACACCGTTCATATCATTTGTCTACAAAGGATTTAAAAGACAGCTTATCTAAAATCTCACAGAAGGATGATTATGCAAATGTACAAAATAGAAAAAGATTTCACAGATTGCAAAAGTGAGCATGTGTTAAGCTGTCTCTCTTTGTCCTCTCCTTGCAGTATCGCCACAGCACGCCCTACGTGGGACCCCCTCAGCAGTATTCTGTACAGCCTCCGGGTTCCGGCGCCTTCTATCCTGGGCCGGGGCCAGGGGACTACCCTTCCCCATATCGTGAGTCATTAATTGAACTCTGCAAACATCAATTATTATTCCTATGCCACATTCTAATCTGAATTTACCCCAAATACACACAGTCAGCCTTGTTTTCCTCCAAAGCAGGGGAATGTTGTGCTGATATCAGTTTTCTCCTCTTTCCTTTCTGCATTCAGACCCCCTCAGGTACCACCCGCCTGTCTCACCCACGGTTCCCGCTCCCGTCCCCACAGCTGGTCCCCAGTACTACCCCGGACAGTCTGTGTACCCCCCCTCACCCCCCATCATAGTGCCTACACCACAGCAACCTCCACCAACCAAGCGTGAGAAGAAAACAGTGAGTACCATAGGTCTTTTTTTCAAAACGATACATATTTGACCAAATCATTTCTTTTTGACACTCTGAACCTCCAGCAATTGTCAAATTTGTAATCTTTTCAAAACAAAGGAAGGTCCAAGCCACTCTTCTAAAAAGTAAAAAAAGCCTTTAATCAGATGGCTATATTTTCTGGTGAAATTCTAAAAAACAAGACAATGCTTGCACACGTTAACATGGATATGAACCAACTCTTATGTTTCCTACCAAAAAGCAAATATAGTAAAAATAAAAATTTGAATCTGTGTTCGTAAAATAATCTTCTGTAAAGGCAGATTAAGAAGCTGTTCTGTAGCCTTGACGATATCATGATTCCCATCACAAAATGTGGATTTTCAAACTTCTTAAGAGATGTATTGATTCTGAATCAAAATAGTTTTTATTCCTCATTTGCAGACTTTCTCACCTGCTCTTTGATTCGCTCTAGCTAAACAGCTGGATGCACACAATTCTCCGTGTTCTGTGCTGTCTTAAAAATACCAAAGCTTACTTGTGGCACCCATTTTAAATAACATATTGACCGTATCACCTTAAGACAGATTGATTAAAATGTACATCTGCAGGTTTTTAGTGGTTCAATTAAAACACAATGCAAAATTATAATTTCTCTTTCTATGGTGAAATACTTACGTTTTTTTTAATTTAAGTGTCAGTGACTAATTTCCTGTTCCTTAAATAGAATACCTCAAGCTCTGGTTAGTGTATAGCGCTACAGATGAGAAGCATGCATCCAACATATCTGACGCAGGGTTCCTCTCAAACTCGTATGCTTTAGTGTTTTCTTTTTTTGTGCCATTGTCCGCCCAGATCCGTATCCGTGACCCCAATCAGGGCGGCAGAGACATCACAGACGAGATCATGGCAGGGGGTTCAGGGAGCAGGAATTCAACGCCTCCTATTGGCCGCCCCTCCTCTACCCCGACACCCCCACAGGTATGGCTCTCTGACACGCTCATCTACTGTAGTTACAGTTGTGTTAGTGTAGCATTGAGAGCAGCTGAATAGACTGGAGCCGAGAAGAGAAGGTGTCTCATGTTGCAGTGTGAGCTCCAATCCTCTCCACCACGTGTGTGACATACAGGATACGGCCTGTGGGTCTTTCATTTATGCGGCCATCTTGCCTTCTCATAAGTCATTCATGATGGCTTTGAGTCCAGAACATGCCTCTGGACTTCACATCATCTTAAAGCACTTGTTTTAATGTGTTTATGTTCTGCAGCAGTCTTGGGTTTTCCCTGTCATATGTTCCTGGGACTTTTCAACTAAACTTGGCTCTTACTTGATTTTCTCCTAATGAATTCACTGTAATCTTGTTAGTAGCTGAAAAAGCCCTGCCGCCCCAATTAGATGTATAAAATGGAATCCAGCAGGGCTCTGGGTCACATGACAGAAGTTGGAAACCAATGCACTATTGCTATTGGCACTTTAAAAAAAAAAAGCCCAAATCAAACAGCTTCCCTGGATTCTGAAGAAGGACGTTGTGACTTCTTCCTCGCTGTGTCCTCCTGTGGATGTTAACAGTCTTTCCTCTCTTTCTCTGTCTTTTTGTGCCCCTCTTGATTTATTTCTCTCTCTATCTTCTCTCCGCTCCTCTTCCTCTGCATTGTTCTGAGCCGTTCCCCTCCTCCTGCTATTTCTCCCACATTGATCTTTATTTTTGTCCTCCATCGCTGTCCTCTGAATCCATCCCCACCCCATCGGGCTCCTTGTTTCTGCTTTAAATCTTGCGTTTGGGCTTGTTTGCTTATTTGTTTGTGTGTGTGTGCTTGCCTCCACATCTGGGCCTGTCTCTGGTTTTCTGTGTTGCTAGTTTTTATGGCCGCACCCTCATTATCCTCACATTTTCTACCTCAAATCGCAGCAGCAGCCGAGCAGCAGCCAGACTCCAGAGCAGCCGCAGCCGCAGCCTCCTCCGCCGCAGCAGGCCCATCCTGGGGGCTACGCACTGGAGCCCCCGCAGCCCCCGCAGCCACTACAGCCACAGCAGCCGTCCACCACTACGGCTGCAGACACCAAACCAGGGCCAGGTCTGCACCAACATCCCCCCCCCTCTGTCTTTAAAAACACATCAACAACTCCCAACAGTCTATACATCTTGTTATTTTGACTTGGTTTTTATGTTTAAATAGCACAAATATGACATCAGACCATCAGTAATATTGGTCTATTTTTGCTGTGTCATTCCCTTCCATTGCAAGGCTATGTCTGAGGTTTTATTTGAGTCCTCCAGCTACTTCAGTAACCTTCACTCTTTTGCATAAACAATGATTTCCAAACACAAGACTTGTATCAGTTTCCTTTCCCCCATAACACGCTGCACATGAAATGCTTTCACTTTCATTTCACTCTCAGAAATCAGACTCCCTGTTCTTCCAGTATTTAGCTGGAACATTCCACCAGCATTTTTTAAGCAAAGGTTTTGGAACCGGTTCTTTGTTTGTGGAGAATGTTGTTGTTGTTTAGATTGTTTGGTTTATGAACTTAATACCCATCCATGCACCTTTACCCAAGTAATCTACTTAAAGAGACTGTTAAGTAAAATATGTGTTTTACTGAACTTTTCTCCTTCCAGATGATACGCCAAAACTGGAGCCAGTTGTCCAGAAGTCTTCCTCGCCTGGGCTTGTGCAGCCTGAAGCCCCCGTAGAGAGACTCCAGGCCAAAGCTCCCGCAACTGAGCCCTCTTCTCCCGTCGAACCAGAGCTTCCCTCCCCTGCTTTGATGAGCGCCCCCGTCACTCTCCCTCTTTCAGTGGCCAACAACAGTGAGCGTGCCCCAGCCAAGGAATCCACTGCATCAGCCTCTCCTCCCTCCCCCTCGGTGGGGGAGCACAAGCCACCTCAGACTACCAACACAGACAAGCCTCTCTCCGACGCCCTGCGGACTCCGGCTGCCTCTCCAGCACCGGCTCCCAAGGCTCTGAACGGCCTTGCAGACCCCGGTGCTGAGCTGGACACGCCGGAGCCTTCTCTCCTGCCTTCAGCTGCCCCCCAGCCCCAGGCCTCGGCCCCCGCTCACAGAGAGGCCTCTTCCTCCGACGCTTTGCCCTCTGACGTGAGCCCAGAGGTGCCCGTTGCTGCTGCTGCGCTCGCCCCTTTGGCCCCTGTGGCTGTGGTGCCAGTCACCCTGACCTCAAGCCCCGCCCCCGCTTTGCCAGTTTCGCTGCCCCCCGGCCTTCCACCTCTAGTGCAGGCCACAACAGAGGCCGAGGAGCCGAGCAAGAGCTTAGACACTAAAGACCTCGTCCCCAGAGCAGGGACGGAGGCACACGGAGGCATTACGGACAGCACAACAGAGTCCCAGCAACAAGCACTCAGCAGCGAGAGTCCCACTACAGGTAGTGCAGGCTTTATTGTTCTCTAGATCATTTGTTTGTTGTGTTGTGTGTTTTAACTGCAACAAAGGAGCAACAACTCTTTGGAATGAGTGTTTTTCTGGCGGAAATCCAGCTTCAAAGGAGATGCTGTTTTATGAGAACTATACTTTTTATGGTATTATGCCAAACATCAAAATTACGTGGCCATATCATTTACGCAGTTTTTTTATGAATGGCCATTAAGCAAATATTGAAGGTTATCTCTCATCAAAACAGTGTTTCTAATGTATTTGTTACCCTTAGAGCTCAAACAATTACTCAAAATATCTGTCAGTATATCAATATCAGTATATCCATTTTTTTATAATCGACTATTAATTGAAACTGGAAAGACTTTCTCCTTTTTGTCAAAAAATATAATTTGGCTCTGCAAAATGTGATGGACGTTTTATTGACTTGAATCCATCCAAATAACCTGCAGATATCAATAATGAAAATAATCCTTAGTTGCAGCCCTAGCTCTATGATTATTTTCTCATCTTAATATTTGTATTTGCCAAGAAAATCACAACATTCGAAATCAAATAATAGTGAACAGGGAGGAATATTTTTGTGAACAACTATTTTGGTTTGTAAAATGCTCCACAAAGTGCACCCTTGTTCACATGCATGGAACAGGAAGTCGTTAAGTAGCTCAGAGTCAGTTGCAGAGCGACACCTGACAAACAGGTAGAACAGAAAGGCTCGGGGTCATCAGCGTTTGTTCAGGAGCGATATTGACTTGCTGACTGTAGAACTCAACACCTGTCATAACCTTCACCTGTGTGACACTTCAAAATCATGAGGAATCACTTCTTGCCCTTTAAAATCTTTACAAATGTATTTACTCTATCAATACATAACAAATCCTAAAGAGCCCACCAGGTTGAAACCTGACAAAACAGGAAAAGAAAATATAAAGTATAGCAATTCACTTTTAATTGAGTCTTTTTGTCTCCTAATCTCCCTAAAATACCTATTTTTATTAATCTCTCTTGTTCTGCTTTTGTAATGAAATATTTTTAAATAATGTTCAATATTTGTTTCAGTTTGGTGGGCGAGGTTTATCATATTAAAAAGATGTATTCATCATAGATTGACTTAAATGTGATTTTATACTATTTTCTGGCATTTCCTCCGTTGAAATATACTCATCTCCTATCCATTGTAGGGTTATAAAAGAAAACCCAGATTCTACCCAGACACAAAGGCATCCGAACATATTCCCTTATACTGACACAAATACATCTTGCAAATCATTGCCTTCTAAACACTTTTAAATCCATTGCTGTTGTGTTGTTTGGCTGATTGCATGCTCCCGCTTTTGTATTTCCCTGCAGTAAATCAGACTGCTTCTGCTATACCAAAGACCTGGAGGAAACCAAATGAAGGGATCTCTGCTGTAGACGCACCTCACAAGGAGGACCAGGTAAGAAAAGAGGCCGAAAGCTGCTCACCCTGCAAGATTAAAAGACTAGACCACCTTCAGCAAGAATTTCAATTCTATCCATTCACTGGTCTTAAATGAGATGAACATTTTGAAAATGTCACCTTCAAATACCCTTCCTACTTTATGATCATTTTGTGAGATTTTTTGTCAGTTGATATATCATTTTTGGAACAAAGCTTTTTAAAATTCCTGAAAAGTATCTCAGGACAGAGAGAGAGAAGAGGGAAGGCACAAAGTGGGCAATAGTTCAAGTGGAAAATGTTTCCACATGTGTGGGGGGGGAAGCAGACTTAAATGACTTTTGGGTGTCGTTATCGTTCGAGAGCGACAGCGAGGAGCTATCCATCATCTTCATTGCTCACCCAGCCCACTGAATGTAAAATGCAGCTCTTTCCCGCTCTCGTTTCCTCTGCTTTATTGTTTGGTCTCAGGCTTGTTGCCGTGGGAAGAACTTCACACCACCACAAAACCAATGTGCCAGACTTTCAAAGGACCTCTTTTAGGCCGTTTAAGAATAAGCACCACAAGTGAAGACAAATGTTATTTTATGTAGAAATACAGGGATTGCAAAAAATAAAAACATAACCACCTGCATTTAAATATCTTAGAGCAAAAAGAGTATATCCTGATTCCTGTGTCTATAAGACTAATAGCCTCACAATTTTAAATTCAACATGTTTTTACCAACGATGGATGAAAGTGAATATTCCTTTTTTTGATGCGTTAATGGTATTTATGTACAGATAATATTTCAGATAAGGAAAATGGAGTTGTGTAGAAAATCATACCAGCATAGAATGGTCCGTTCTGTGCGACTGCTTGTACTGCTTGCTGCAACCGGCCTCTTGTGTTCCTTTTTTCCCCGCCTTATCTGTCTTTTGTTTGTACCTGACCAATTCTGCCCTCTCTGCTTTTATTTATTTCTTTTCCACTCCTGTATTTGTACCCATTCTTTATGTGTCCACCTCTTCTGCAGCTCTAAACTGCTGATTGTTCAGTTCTATGTGGGGATATTATGCTGCAAATACATTACATTTGATATAACTGACGGTGTTATCCAAATACTCTTACAATATAGCGGTGCAGGAATGAGTCTTAAAACCCAGGAAAGAGATTTTCAGGTTTTGTATTACGAGTTCAAATACGTGTATATAAATATAATATAAATATAATTAATTTGTGAATATCCGAAGCTTCTTGGTGCATTTGCTAACAAGTGACTAAATAAGCTACTAAACAAAATCACGCCAATACAAGTCCGCCGTTAGCTTAGCGGTGGTGCTGCACAGCCCTGCGACATGGCGTAGTTCATTCACAGCCAAACGTTAGCTTTTTAATCCTGGCGATTGCCTTTTTAGGTTTTAAAAAAATTAATAGATGGAGATTATCCTTCTTGGAAAAATGTGTTAAGTTTCATAAATATGTGTGTACCACAGAGCTTTCTTTCTGCATTATACCCACAATTCAATGGAGAAACCCCATTGCTTTTTGACTCCTTGCAATGCTATTTCCCGGTTTGGCCTACAAAAATACATCATCACTGCACCACTCTATAATGGCAAGCAATTATGAGGATACACATTTGAGTATAACAAGAATCTGGCAAAGACATTAGCTTCAAACAAGCCAAACCATTGTTTAGTGCAACCACCTTTTCTCTTATAATTGTAATGGCAAATATGCAGTTGAAATTGTTTCAGTCATGTGACAGTTTCTGCTGTCCTGATATCAATAGGGAGCTCATTTCACCATTTAAGAGCCAGGCAAGCAGGCCAGTTTTGATCACAACGTGAACAGGCTGGGGTGAGAGCCAAGGGACAGCAACTGATTAGCTGTTAGGAGTTAATATCTTACTAAATAAAAATAATGCAGAACATTAAATCCAAAAACTGAATGTTGCCTCCACACAGGACGAGCCCCGGCCAGCGGAGCATCCTGCTGTGGAGCAGGTCCTGCCCTCGGCCCCTCTGAGCTGCAGCCCGGGGCCCCTGCCAGCAGCCCTCACCTCCAGCCCTGCTCCAGCTCCTGCCAGCAGCCCAGAGGCTGACGGGAAGCCCGCCGCCCCCGAGGAGAACGGTGAGGCCGAGACGGAGCCCATGAGGAACGGGGCAGGTCACACCTCAGAGACAGAGAGCAGCGACGGTGGAGCCACCCCCGCTGACAAGGAGAACTCCACAGGGGCCCCACAGGACATCGAAGGTTAGAGAGGCAACACCTTTATTAGCAAAACTCTCTTTGCCATTAAGAGCTTTTATATCCAGGATTGAATTATTCTCAGTTCAGTCTCATATGTATGCATTTGTTCTTTGTCTTTTTTTCTCATTCCCTGCTTGGTGGTCCAGACCTGGCTGAACCCGGTGGGAAGCGTCAGTATAACAGGGACTTCCTGTTGGGCTTCCAGTTCATGCCCGCCTGCATACAGAAGCCTGAGGGTCTCCCACCCATCAGCGACGTGGTGCTGGACAAGGTGAGAAAGCTGATCACTGCAGATATGCCCATTAAATAGTCAGACCCCTGTCCATAAACCTCCAAGCGCAACATTAATCTGCAAATGATATTTAAATAATCTTTTAAGTCCAATTATGTAGTTTCCGCTTCTGAGTTTTAAAGATTTGCTGCACTTTTTAATTGTTTCAAACATTATCATTTCAATGTAATTTAGTTTTAGACTTAGTTATTCGGACAACACTAGCAGTTTTAAAATCCACCTCGGGCTCTGGAAAAATGTGTCATCATTTTGTAAGGGTTTTAAAGACGAAGCGATTAAGCTACTCAATTATATATCTTATGAATTAATAATGAAACCAATCATAAGTTCAAGCCCTAGTTCTGAATAAACTCCATGAAACAGGGTTCTTTGTCTGTTGCTCATAGCAACAGGCAGTGTTTTACTCTGTTAGCTTGTGTGCACTGGATCAAAGATGCAGCACACAGTTGGGTTCATTCCTCCGATCCACACATACGTATGGGTGGAGCATATGGCTTGCAGAAATGCTGTTTTGATTAAAATCACATTGCGATTATGTCACTCTTGGCAGTGCTAAGAGTGCTTGCCCCTCCCCCGCCTCTCCGAAAAAGAACAACCACCAGACCGGCGATGTTCAATCCCAAAGTCTCGTTTTCTCTGAGGGTAGAAAGTGAAATCTCTCTGGGAAAAGAGCGCAGAGGAAGTCAAGGACAGCTGAAAGACAAAGAGCTGGATTTGTTCTTCTCTCCTCCCCCACAACTATCTGCCTCTCTCTCCCTCCTGCGTTCCTTTCTTCCTTCCTTCCCCTCCACATCTGGTTCTGACTTCTCTCTCTGAATGGCCAGCTGATCCCGCCAAGCATGATTTATCACCAGTACAGTGAAAATACATAAACCAAAAGCTGTTAATGTAGTACGACTGTCATTTGCTACGGGTCACCTTTAAGGGACCACTGAGTTAGAAATGCACACACACATTCACACACTCACACACTTCCCAGGCAGAATCCTTTCACCCTATTCCTACTCTTATTAGGATCACTGCTCCCCCTGCTGTTCAACTCATCATATGTGTGTGTAATAGTGTGTGTGACGATGGCTTGTGTATGTTTTGTGTCCTGCAGATTAACCAAAACAAGTTGCCATCCAGAGCGGTGGAGTCCAGGGTGATTTCCAGAGGACCCGATTTCACACCTGCCTTTGCAGATTTTGGCCGGCAGATCACCGGAGGACGAGGCGCTGCAGTGAGTCACACGTGCAGACACAAAAAAAACACTCACAGATTTTCAAGCAGCCACAGGCAATCTTAAATTCAAACACATTTGAATGTATTAACATATCCTCATATTTAATAGAGAACTAGTTGAATGAGTGGGGGGTTATTTAAATGATATCACAAGTCTTTCAGATGTTAAATTCCTTAAAAAATGTAAAAAGACAAAAAAGATCCTCAAAGTCAGAGAATAATGTGTTACAATTTGAAGTATTTGTTCCAGTTGGTAATTAAGCAAACATCCATAAATGTTCATTAGCTGATTCCAGTGAGAACACTTCCAATATACCACTCTTAACACTGTTTTGCTTTTGTCAGAACGATTTGTTTAAATGGAATAAGTCTAATCAGTTGCAGAAAAGCATTTTAGTTGTCTGTTCTTCTGGACAAAGCAGGGTCTATTTAATTAGAGCCGAGGTCATATTTCAAAAATGTCGGTAAAGAATTATTGGCAATTGTTGTTAAAATGACCAGAGGCCTGTACTACGAAGCAGGATTTTCGCTGAGCGGGCTAACTTCAGGGAAAACTCTGGGTTTCCGGTCCTACGGCGCTGGTTCTCTTTTTAGTGGGCTAGATCTCCATGATAACTTATGCTGAGCGGCTAACCTGCTCCGGAGCAGGTTAGGTTGCAGGCTAAGAGATCAACTCATGCGGCTTTCACACCAGCGCTTTTCCCTTTCTAGCTCCTAGCTAGAGCTTTTCTGGTTCAGCTCCGGTTTCCCTTTTCAGCTTCCGCTCTGTTCACACCGCCCAGCTGCCGCGGCTGCGTCATGTCGTCACCGTTTACATCGCTGATTTTCTCCCCAACGGAGCTCACAACAACAACAACGGGGGGGGACTGCGTCGGGTCGATGATCGTGTTGCTTTTAATCATACGAAGCCAGATTAAATTAAATAACGACTTCTCCAACCTTATACATTTCTCCAGAGTGCCGTGGTTCATTGTTTATTAATGTGTTTCAGCGGCATTTACCGACCGCTGCAGTGCTGGCTGCTCTTCAACGGGAGTTTATTCTCCCGTTAGCTCCGGGTTAGCTCACACGGCTCTAAAGTATTGTCACACAAGCAGCTGATACATATCCCCAGTTCCCCTTAAGTGAATGTGTGTCAGTCTGAATTGACGCTGTTTGGCATCACAACGCTGTTATGAAAGTTTCTCTGGTATAACATGGGTGATGTTAGCATAGCAACCGAAGCTAAACTGACTACTTGCTAAGCCGTTTTCTACAGGCACATTTTACCGGCGTATTTTTCATTATGATTCTACTTGTGATAGTCGGACATGACAACCTGTACAGCCCATGTATTGATTCCATCCGATAGCTGCTATAATAAAAAACAAAACGTCTGCCTGCTCTCCACAATGATCAATAACAGCGAACGGATGGTCAAAGTAAGGTACAAATAAACAGAATCACACGAAGCCTGGTTAGTGTTGCCTGACTTTATAAAGTGTGTTTTTTTTTTATAAGTGTGTGGTTGCCTTCTAGTCACTTTGCTCAGCGCTACTGCTTGTAGGCAGGCATGACGAGACTCTTCAGTCGACCCATGTTCAGGGGAGGTGGGTTTAGTTTCCTGCACGCCTCGACGTTAGAGAGACGTAAGCGACGCCGCGTCATAGCTCCGAAGCTCTTGCCTCTAGACCGACAATTTTTTGGAGCTGGAAGTGAACCGCATTCCGGAGCTATGACACGGCGCCGCTGCGGTGTGAACAGGAAAAACCGGCGCTTTTCCATCTCTAGCTCCAAGCCGGAGCTGGAAAAGCGCCGGTGTGAAAGGGGCATCAGTGAAAGCACCGCCTGCTGACCAATCAGAGCTCCGTGTGCGGAGTTTAAAGCTATCAAGTCATATTACAGGATAGAGGAAATACAGAAAAACTGCCGTTGCAGGAAAGACGGCCGGCAAAAATCAACTGACTGTGTGAACGTGAAAATTAATAGAATATCCCCTCCCATCTTCAGAGCAATCTGACTATTATAACATTAGCATTAAGAAAGCTTACTTAAATATCTGCCACAACGTAAGTAACCGGATCAGAGTAACATTAAGTACAGTCCGCGGCACTGTGAGTGCAGACGTCGATGTGTCCCATTATCATTCATATCATATCACATCATAATGTATCATATATTTCCTTATCTGAGTCAGCTTCTTGAGCCGTATCTGGCCGTGCAACACTCACAGTGTCACATACTGTATGCAGAAGTATTATTTAAGCAACACATTAAAGGGGACCTATCATGCAAAATGCACTTTTGTACGTCTTTTAAACATGAATATGTGTCCCCGGTGTTCCAGGGAACTCACCAAGTGTCAGAAAACACAACCCTCTCTATTTTCCTCCATACCCAAATCTCTAAAAAAGGGGCTGCAACGGATCTGATAAAAACTGATCCAGATTTGAACACTGTCTTGACGTCAGGACAGTGGCGCTACGGCTATTGGGCCAACTCCACCAATCAGGAGGAGACAGCCACAGCCATTGCCGTTCGAAAGCGCTGGAGACGCTGTAGTACATATGCCAGGCCTGTAGATGGTGCTGTTCTCACAGAATCAGCCCTTGCAAAAACAGAGCAAAAAAATGTCAAATTGAGCGAAATGAGGCATGGCTAAAATGCATGATCTGTTTGGTATTTTGAAAAAAAAAAAAGTATAAATATGCCTTATATAGGTATGGTCCTACACTATATTATTCAAATATAGCATGATAAGTCCACTTTAAGTTGACGAAACACTCGAGTCAAATGTAATTAAAGTCAGATCCACTCGTGTCTTGGACGGGGCAGTGATATTAATGTACGCATTCAAACACTTTTTCTTTTACCAGCTGTATTCACCTTGCAGGTGCAGCTATGTGGCTTTTATCCTGGATAAAGTGTTTAAGTCATGGATGTTTAAAGTTTAACTTCTTCATATTTGACTAATATTAAAGTTCACTTTTCATTCAGGAAGTATGACGCGCTGCGCTGTCAGTACGGTTGTCCATGTTTGTGATTGGTCGAATGCTCCAAATACCACCCCTTTCATGTGAACGCGCACCTAACTAGATAGGACACGGCTGGCTTGAGCGATCCACTTGATAACCAGCGTCGTAGGACCGCTTAGCGAGAGCGCGTTTGTTTTGGATTAGGCCAACCGGCTAACTCAAACATATCCAGGTTATGTTGAACCGGCTTCGTAGTACAGGCCTCAGGACGGTCAGCTACTGCGTTATATGTTGTTGTTTTTCATTACAGACGGGTAAAGGAATAAATTGTGTAGTTTGAAACTAGTATCGCAAATGACATTGACGTGCTGTATTCTTTCATTGCATCCACAGCCTATGAACATTGGGGCCCGGCGGCCTCCACCCAGGAAGATCATCATGCACGTTCCTGTTAATGATGAAATTCAGCTGAAGAAATCAGAGAATGCATGGAAACCCATCATGAAGAGGCCGGAAGTCGTTGTAGATGATCCTGCGGTGCAAGACACACAGGTACGGCCAAATATACACAAACACACAGAAAAGATACACAAAAGAGGAGCTTTTCAAACATCCGCACCAGACTTTGACAAAAAAATCATAGAAAGCAATATTCTGGACTTCCGGTGAGCAAGGCGAGTGAGATGGCTGCTTAATTTTTAGCTCTCGATAGCGATTGGAAATCAACCCCCTTAACTCGCCAAATAATATACAAATCGATGTAATTTTATTGGAATGAGAGGGGGAAAGAGAACTAGAAGTCAAAAGAAAGGTGACAAACTAGAAAGACAGAATTCACCGGAGATGGAAGATGCTCAAAGCTCCGTTAGCTCCGTTAGCTCACAACAGGACTCGGCAGACACCATGCGCTCAGTGCTCCAGGAAATACGCGATTTCAGGGCTGAGCATAAAGTGGACTTAAACAAACTTAAAGAAGAAATCAAGGGGGACATGAAATCTGAACTCGAAGATATGAAGCAGGAAATTTACCAAAAACTTTCTGCTAACTCCGCGCTAACCCAGGCCCACGAAACTAGGCTGAAAGAAGCGGAGGAACGAATCGATGAGGCGGAGACAGTAAACATGGCTCTGTCAGATGCGTTGATTAAATCAATGAAAGAACAGAGAGCCATGCAGGGGAAACTGGTGGATTTGGAAGGTCGATCCAGGAGAAATAATATGCGCATTTATGGAGTACCCGAAGAGAAGGAAGGTAACTCCATGTCTGACTTTGTGGATCAACTTTTGAAAACTGAACTCGCTTTACCGGACACCAACCTACAGATACAACGCGCCCATAGAGCTGTGGCTCGCAAACCGGAAAGGAATGCACCGCCAAGGTCCATAGTGGTGAACTTTCTGGAGTTTAACACCAAAGAAAGGGTACTGAAAAGGCCTGGGAAAAAAAGATACTGATGGAAGGGCGACGTCTATCGTTCGATCACGACTATGCAACGGAGGTCGTCCTGAAGCGCAAGGCGTACGTGGGAATAAAGAGGGTCCTTAAAGAGAAAAATATACGTTTTCAGACACCTATTGACAGGATGCGTATTCACTGGGACTCGGGAACACGCACATACGACAGTGCGCAAGATGCAGCGCAGGAGCTGAGGAGGAGAGGTTTCTCCGTGGAGATACCAGACCGCAACGCTTCGGAGCTGTACCCGGAGATGGAGCGTCTCCACCAGACCAAGACATGGCAGCGCGTCGGAGAGAGTAGTGCAGGTGGGGACGAGACCGCGAGCAGAGTAAGGAAGAGGCTACAAGAGTATGAGCGGATCCCTCCCGGGACTAACTGATTCATATTATATATTCACTGTATATATTTGTCACGACTTCATTTGGATTATATAAATGCTATCAGATGCTGTTGGACTACTAGGATGCGTGAGACTGCGTGTTTCACCTCTAGTGAGGGGCCCTTCAGGAGGAGGCTCTCCCCTCTACCTGCCAACGGGGACTTAGGGTGGCGAGGAATCACCCTACCTTGGAAGTCTACGTTTTTCTTTTTACGTTCTACGTTCACTACATGTGGGCCAGATGTTCAGGTCTGTGTAGTTTTCAGTTGTCTGGAGTTTTGTGAATGCAAAGGATTGGGTAATTTAAATGCCGTACAATAATATAAAAGTGGTGTCACTTAATGTAAATGGGATGAATAATCCAGTTAAAAGGAGCAAGGTCCTGGCTAAATTGAAAAAAGAAAAGGCCCAAGTACTATTTTTACAAGAAACTCATCTGCCTCAACAGGAGCATGAAAAATTAAAACGCTTTGGTTTTAAAAATACGTTCTATAGTTCTTACAAACCTAGCCAGAAGAGGGGAGTGGCTATCCTTATTTCAAATGCAGTTAAATTTGAACTCCATAAAGAAGTTAGGGACAAAGAGGGACGATATATATTAGTGAAAGGAAAGCTTGAAAATGCAGTGGTGACATTGGTCAATGTATATGCCCCCCCAGAGAGTAACAAATCTATTTTTAAAAATCTGTTTGACGTCATTGCATTAGAGACTGAGGGTATTTTGATATGTGGAGGGGATTTTAATGTGGTCCTGAATCATACCATAGACACTACAAGTCACAAAAATAGCAAGAAGCACCTGACCAAGTTTGTTAATGCGTCAGTGCAGGAAATGGGACTAATTGATATTTGGAGGGAACTTCATCCCCTAGAACGGGATTATACACACTATTCAGTGCCCCATTCTGTGTACTCCAGAATTGACTACTTTTTAATAAATACGGGTGAAAGTCACAGGATCACAGAGAGTAAAATCGGGGTGGCAGATGTTTCGGATCATAATATGATTAGCTTGTCAATAAATCTGAACAGTAGACAAAAGAATACAGTGTGGAGGCTCAATGTGGGTGTTTTGAATGATAAGGCGACCGTGGAACAGTTAAGGGAAGAGATACAAATATATATAGAGGAGAATGATAATGGGGATGTGGACCCTGGGATACTGTGGGATGCTTTGAAGGCTGTTCTCCGTGGAAAGCTGATCGCCCTAACAGCATCACAAAAAAAGGCCCGGCTAGCCACATACAAATACAAAATAGAAAAATTGAGAGAAATGGAGACAAAACATAAGAGTACAGGGGATCAATCGGCATTACAACAAATTAAGGAAACAAGGGGGGAGATAAATGAGATCCTTAGAGGAGAAATAGAAAAAAAGGCAAGGTTTTTAAAGCAGTCTTATTATGAATCAGGCTCAAAAGCAGCTAGACTCCTGGCTAGACGCCTGCGCAAACAGCAAGCCTCTAATACAATTCATAGAACAAGGGACCCCCCAAACTAACCAACTACTATATGAGCCAGATGAGATAGAAAGAATATTTGAAGAATACTATAAGACACTCTACTCTAATCCACCATTAGCTGATGAAAGCACAATAAGAAACTTTCTTAACTCTCTTGATCTGCCATCTATAGGTGAGATACAGAATGACACCATTACGTCGCAATTTACAGTTGAAGAGTTGGAAGCTGCAATCAGTAGGCTAAAGACCAGTAAATCACCGGGCAGCGATGGGTTCCCACCAGAGTTCTATAAAACTTTCACGAAGGAGCTAACACCTCTGCTTCTGTCTTGTTTTAATTGGACTCTTAAAGAAGGCAGGGCTCCCCCATCTTGGAGGGAAGCAATTATTTCCATTTTGCCTAAGGAAGGCAAAGACAAAGACCACTGTAAAAATTATAGGCCAATTTCTCTTTTAAATGTGGACTACAAGCTGTTTACCTCAATTATCTGTAAAAGATTTGAGACTTTTATGCAAGATCTTATTCATGAAGATCAAACTGGTTTCATTAGAGGACGCCAAACACAAGACAATATCAGAAGGACTCTCCATATCGTAGACAATGCGCATAAAAAGGGCACGAGTATGGTTCTGGTTAGTCTGGACGCAGAAAAAGCGTTTGACAGTGTCAGTTGGTCTTTTTTATATGAAGTACTAAGGAGGTTTGGTTTAAATGAAAATGCAATTCGGTGTATTAAGACTATTTATCACGAACCTACGGCTAGGATCAAAGTAAATGGGAGTTTGTCCAATAGGATTCAGCTGGAGAGAGGCTCTAGACAGGGTTGCTGTCTCTCTCCTACTCTCTTTGCTTTATTTGTTGAACCATTGGCGCAAGCAATAAGGCAGAGTGAAGACCTGCAGGGTGTCAATATAGGGGGGGAAGATCATATCATTGGGCTTTTTGCGGATGATGTTATAGTTTTCCTTGAGCAACCAGATGTATGTTTCCCAAACCTGATGAACCTACTCGACACATATGGTTACTATTCAGGGTATAAAGTGAACGTAACAAAAACTCAAATTCTCTCATTCAATTATTCCCCATCCCAACAAATTAGACATGCATATAACCTAAAATGGAATTCCAAAACAATGACTTATCTTGGTGTAACTATAACCAAAACATTTTCCAACCTGTTTGAAGCCAATTATAACAAAATTGATGACAATATCCGAAAGGATGTAGAAAGGTGGTCCACCCTCCCTTTAGACTTCAGTGCCAGAATACAAACGGTTAAAATGAATATCCTACCTAGGCTGCTGTATTTTTTTCAGTCTCTTCCAATTGATGTTCCCCAAAAAAAATTCATAACCTGGGACAGGATGATTTCTAGATTTGTTTGGAATAGTAAAAAACCAAGAATACGATTTACGACACTTCAGTTGCCTAAAAGTAAGGGGGGAATGGCTTTACCAAATCTTAGGGAATACTTCTATGCAGCCCAACTCAGACCTTTGGCCTACTGGTGTAGACCAGATTATGAGTCTGGATGGAAAGCCATGGAAAGGGAGGTACAGGGTCACCACATTCAGGCCTTGGTAGGAGATAGGAATTTGGTGAAGGCTCTGAGAGGTGAAATTAATACGATAGTTGCGTTTACACTAGAGGTCTGGAATGTTGTAGTAGCAAAATACAAATTAAAGAGAGGGATACGCACGCTGAGGTGGTTTGCATACGATTCCAATTTTAAACCAGGTGTGTACGATCCAGCATTCAAAGAATGGGTGCAAAAGGGCATAACAGCAATGTGTACGGTTTCAGAAAAGGGTGAATTGATGGGTTTTCAGGAATTACAGGCAAAATATGGTATTACAGACAGGGATTATTTTAGATACATGCAGCTAAGACACTATTTTGTAAAAGAGATAAAGCTGAATGCAGATGAATCTGTAGATACTGTAACTGGGGTGATTGTGGATGCGTATCAGCAGAAGGGGTCCCGGATAATTTCTGCTTTCTACCAGGCTTTGGGGGGAAACAGGGGGGAATCGACTATCTACATAAAAGCAAAATGGGAAGTAGAGTTACAAATTAAAATTTCAGAGGAAGAATGGTTTCAAATGTTCGAGACGCAATTTACATCCACAAACTCATTAGTATGGAGGGAATTCTGCTGGAAGAACCTGACTCGCTTTTTCATAACACCCAAAATAAAGAGCAGGCAACTTGGTGTACAGCAACAGTGTTGGAGGTTGTGTGGCAACATGGAGGCTAACCACTCACACATTTTCTGGAACTGTACAAAGATAAGGTCATATTGGGAGAAGGTTAATGCAGTTGTCAAAATTATTTTGGGTTATGGAATCCCAAATACCTGCCCGGTGATGTATCTTGGGAACATTAAGGATGTTGTGATGGGAGGCGATCTATATTTGATTAAGGTTTTACTTGCAGCGAGTAAGAAAGCTATAACTAGGAATTGGCTTAATGTGAACGCTCCGACTCAGGAGCAGTGGCTGGAAATTGTTCAAGATATTTTCGTCATGGAAAAGCTGACATATGTTTTGAGAATCCAAGAGAATGCATTCAATAGGAAATGGGAAAAGTGGAATATTTACATGGTTGACACCAATGAGTAAGTGAATGACTAATTCAATCCTGTACGGTATGTGTGAATATTGAAGGTCTTCAGACAACTAGTATTTATTGTGCTTTATTTTACAACTGATTTGTGTGTATTATGTTTTCTTGTTCTGTTATTATTGTTGTGAAAACTCAATAAAAGCATAAGTGTAAAAAAAAAAAAAGAAAGCAATATTCTATTGGTGAGGAAACTACTTCATGGGGCCTATTGTGCTTTTGGGGGTTTTCCATTTCCTGTAGTTATATCAGTTTTTTTGCATGTAACTGGTCTGCAAGGGCTAAAATCCCAAAGTTCTCTCCCACACACTCCCCCTCTGCCTGAAACGCACTGCTTTGTTTACTTTTGTAACACAGTGACATCATTATGTTACACTTGCGCTTCTATTGGCTAGTGCTCCAACACATTGTACGCTAGGACATCTCTAAGCGTTTGACCAATCTCAACAGAGCCAGCCAGCTATCCAACCAATCAGAGCAGACTGGGCTCTGGTTTTAGACGGAGGGTGAAAAGAGGTGCTGCAGCACAGGCAGTATGAGGAAAACAAAGAGCTTTTTGTGCATTAAAGCATGGAGACATGTCACAGGAGAGACACTACATACAAATATGAACCAGAAAACTAACATTATAGATGCCGAGGTGAATCGTAAAAAATAATGATTGATGTCGTTATTATGACGGATTCCCCTCAGGAGCTCTTCAAGAAGGTTCGCAGCATCCTGAACAAGCTGACGCCACAGAAGTTCAACCAGCTGATGCAGCAGGTGACGGACCTGACCATCGACACGGAGGAGAGGCTCAAAGGAGTCATCGACCTGGTGTTTGAGAAGGCCATCGACGAGCCCAGCTTCTCCGCGGCCTACGGAAACATGTGCCGCTGCCTCGCCACGGTAAGCAGCTCATTGTGTCAGTGTTAGGGTGGAGAAGCAGACAGGAAGTGAAACATTAAGCTTACCTCAACTAGGGTGCATTCACAGGGGCATTTAAGTACAACTATAAGCAAACTTTCTTAATCTTACAGACTGTGCAGTTTATTCTGTGTGTGCATCCCAAATGCAATCCAATTTGCATCTCAATGTTCAGTCAACAAGTCTCTAAATGTTTCGGCTGCAAACAGATCGATGGGTTTAGATTTATATCTGCCCCATGCAACATAATGCTGTGCAATACAACACAGTTCAATACAATGTGATGACATAGTGGGAACATTATCGTTTTTTGATGAGCTGCAAAATGAGAGTGTAAGATGTGTTACCCTCAACTATCTTGAGTAGAGGGAGTTGAAAGAAGGATTGTTTTGTTGTTAAATCTGTTTTGGTAGTCAAATATAAAGTCAAGGATTAATAACTCAAAGGTCCCCTGTTATACTCTTTTTCAAAAATATATTATAGGTCTCAGATATATACTAAACATGTCTCTGAAGTGTTTGGCTCCAAATACCAGCAACAGATCATGCATTGTAGCATCCCATAATCCCCTCTGTTTCAGCCCTGTTTCAAAAGTGCTGATTCTTTTACTTTAGATGAAAATAAGCAGCCACTCCTCACGACCCTCTATGGATGCATTTGTTTTGTTTTTTAAAAACACAATGGTGTTCTAGGAGGGGATTCAGGTGATAAGGTGGGCGGGTGTTACCATGGTTGGTTATTGGTTAATGGTTGCATAACCCAAAAAAAACATTGTGACATCACAAAGTGGCCCCAATTCTGATGAAGTCATTTTCAGGCAGGTTTTTATATCGGTGGATCAGGACAGAAGAGAGGGAATATGTTTTCCTGAAACTTTCAGAATCTCTTAAAACAGAGGGGACACATATTTATGTATAAAAGACATTAAAAGTGGATTTTGCACAATAGGTGACCTTAATAATAAGTATTTTAAATGCTATTCACCTAAAATGCATTTTTCTAATGAGGTAACTTAAATACAATAAAAAAAGAGCTACCCATGGTTACCCTAACTATACATTTAGCCTGCATTCATACACTATTTAGGGCTTTAAAGTATACATTAAAGTCACTTTTCAACGTAAAGTGACTAAACCTTTAACCATGTTTAACTTGTGTTTCTACTTGTGTTCCTGTGCAGCTCAAGGTGCCCATGACAGACAAACCTAACACCACAGTGAACTTTCGCAAGCTGCTGCTAAACCGCTGCCAGAAGGAGTTTGAGAAAGACAAGGTGGACGACGTGGTGTTCGAGAGGAAGCAGAAAGAGCTGGACTCTGCTGCATCGGTATGTACCCCATGAATAACTTGAGTGTGAAATCCGATTTCATGCACGGGGGAGGGAATGAAACTGTGGCAAAGACATTTAGTGAATAACCTGCAGGGTAAGCATTTGTTTAATGTTCCCCTGTTCCCCTCAGACGACAGAGCGCGAGCGGCTGCAGGTGGAGCTGAGGGAAGCCAAGGACAAGGCCCGGCGGCGCTCCATCGGCAACATCCGCTTCATCGGCGAGCTCTTTAAGCTCAAGATGTTGACGGAGGCCATCATGCACGACTGTGTTGTCAAGCTGCTGAAGAACCACGACGAGGAGTCTTTGGAGTGTCTCTGCAGGCTGCTCACCACCATCGGCAAGGACCTGGACTTTGAGAAGGCCAAGGTGAGGAGGAGAAGATAGTTGATTTATTGTATTAGCCAGAAATTATCAACAATTCAATTCAATGAGAACTTCATCACGTTAAAGGGAAAATGTGCCTTTTTTCTTTTTTGTTGAATCAGTTTTGATCAGTTCATAGCAATACATTCCTCAGTGCGTGCAATATTGACCATGAAAGCTGAATTTGCAGCTGCTAAATCTTTTTGTTTTGTTAAACACAATGCTAGTTTGCAATACAAGTAAGTTGTTGCCAAAAGCGAAAATGTTGTCCTAAAATATGACCTCAGAGGATGTGATGGATAAGGATAGATATTACAGTAGTTTGGCTGACTTGGACATTCAGCTGTGTTCATTCTAGCCAGAGGATCAGCTGAAGAGAGGCTGCATTAGCATTAGCTGTGCCTCTGTATACTGCTGGTGGGAACCGTCTTCGCAACAGAAGCTTGTGCCCAATGCATCATGGTACATATCGGCACTGCTTCACACGCAGGATAACTCAGCTTTCTTGGTCAATATCTCACAAACTAAGAAATCCATTGCTTCAATTTACTCCATTTACAGTCAACACTGAACGGACAACCTCATGAAAAGTGTGGACATTTCCTTTTTATCTGGTCATTTTCTAAACAATGACTGTTTTAATGTTAGGCCATCAAAGTGAATTGTGGGTGTACATTATGGCTGTGTCAGTTCTAGTTCCAGTGTAGCCTCTGCTCTGAGTTCAGGCTGACCAATCTGTCAGGTCAGTGAAATCATGTGGAAATCCCTGAAACAGCAAATGAAATAGAGAAAATAACTCCATGTCTCAAAGTAGCCTCTTATCTCTCTTTCTTCAGCCTCGCATGGATCAGTATTTTAACCAGATGGAAAAAATCGTCAAGGAGAGGAAGACGTCATCTCGGATACGGTTTATGTTACAGGACATTGTAGACCAGAGATTGGTGAGTGTGTGAGCTTTGTGATGTTTGTTTATGTTCAGGTCAGCTCTGGTTCACCATGAGGTTTGTTACATTGATCTCTCTGACCTCCTGAAACCTGATACGGAGTATTCTGCTCATATTCTGCTATAGTCTACTACTGCTCTTGTTATTGAATTTCAACACCTTTTCAGAAAGATTGATGGGGAAGAAGAACTGTTTAGTCAAATACACTGTAGAACCTCTTACAGACCTATTATGCTTTTTGGGTATTTCCCTTTCCTGTAGTGTGTTATATATAGATTTCAGTGCATGTTAATGGTTTGCAAACGCTACAATCCCAAAGTTCCCGCCAGAGGGAGTTTCTCTCCCACACAAATGTCTTCTGTGGACATTGTATTTAATATGTTCTTGTAAATGATCTTGGAAGCAGTCTGTTTAATGTATAATGTCAATTTAAAAATACAAAGCTACAAGAATGATAGCTACAGCTGGAGATGGTATGTGCCTTACATCTGATGCACTGTTCCTCCTTATGTAACAAAATGTACTTCATTTGTCCTGATCAGTTCAACTAAAAACATGGGTATTTCCTGGGCACCCAACATAAGACGAAATGAGAACGAAGAAAAACAGATCAAGAGGACCTGTTTAGTGTCGTGTGAACGCATTTACATTAGAGGAACACCTGCATTGTAATTCTCTGACATTAACTTAACAAACACAATCTGTTTGAATCAATGCCACTGTATCCTTCAAGCCCTGCTGTGCTGCAGTCTGAACATCCGCATTCTGCATTGAAACGCATATTAATAATAACCAATGAAGGCTTGACATCTTTCAGTCACTTCAGATCATTGGCTCATTCATCAGTCTTAGAATTCAGATTATTCCTCTGCACTTGACAACTTCATATTTCTGCGCTGATATATCTTCTATGATAATACCCTACATCCCCCGATGTTTAAGGAATGATCTGGACTCATTTGAAATGGTTCTGATCAGGAAAAGGACATGTTGGAAAATCTGACACTCCTGTTGATTATTGTTCTTATTCTTCAGCACAACTGGGTGTCCAGGAGAGCCGACCAGGGCCCCAAAACCATCGAGCAGATCCACAAAGAGGCAAAGATTGAAGAGCAGGAGGAGCAGAGGAGAGTGCAGCAGCAGCTTCTCTCCAAGGACAGCAAGAGACGGACAGGTCAGCCCGCCCTAAATCCTCTTTAAGGCTTACAGTGCTATCGGCACGGCTACAGCGAGTCAGGAAGCCTCCTTCCTGTCCATGCAGCCTGCAGAGATGCTATTGTGCCCAACAGCAGACAGGAAGCCCCCCCCCCCCCCCACTCCCTCCCATCTGTTAGCAGGCCTTTTAATATTTCATCATGTTTAGCACGAAGGGGTCAAAAACGTCTCACTGTCAGCTGTCACTGGACTTTCAATGAATTCAAACGCTATTAGATTATCACTGATTATTATTTAATAAAAAAATATATTATATATACTTCTGATATACTGAATTATCTTTAAATCTTAATACAATTTAATCATGGAACATAATATTAGAACATGGGATGTGCTTAATTTGTGATTGAAAATAAATAAAAGGACGTTTTCTCGTAAATATACATTTTCTTCCGCCAAATGTACCAAAATGAATTTGCAGAGGCACCATGAAGAAGGTTATCATGTCCATTACAACATCATACATAATATCATACCAGTCTTCTATAGGTGGGGAGACTGGCTTAAGCCATTTCTTGTAGTTGCTTTTCTAAACAGCTCATTCTTTTAAATAAAAAAGGAATCCAAATTCCTTTTAAGAGTGTTTTACATGTCCTTGTGTCTTTCTTTCCTCGTAGATCCAAGAGATCAGAGAGATCAGAGAGATCAGAGAGAGCAGCGGGATCCGCGCGTGCCGAGAGAAGAGACCTGGAACACTGTGCCCGTGACGAAGAACAGCAGGACCATCGACCCCACCAAGATCCCAAAGATCTCCAAGGTGAGACCAGCTGCTTCTTCTCACAAATGATTCAAAGAGTAGGACAAACACACCTCTCAGTTATATCAGAGGAAGCCCAATTATAAACTCATCAAATCCATCAACACTTGAACAAAAAAAGTCTTGATGTGCCATTTTTCATAACACTGAGTCTTGGTTGAATGCTGTCAGGTCTGCCTTGTAATTTAATTAAATCTGTGCGCTTCTTCTTCGTGTCGTGACAAGTTTGTCTCACATTCATCCAGTGTTTTTCCACTCCTGCACCAGTGGTGGTTGTTGTTCTTTCAGTAGAAAAGTGTCTGTACACAGCAGATAAGTGTTTATACAGCACCGAGAGGAATCCTGTGGCTCATCATGTGTACTCAAACACTGTCCCTCATCTGATCTACATCATTGTGGTGTATGTTCAGTTATGCACTCTCCCTCTGCTGGAATCATGATGAACTGCTTTGTAAACAAGACCTCCCCCTGCAGGAGGAATTTCACCATGCTGTCAGTGTTAGTCAGACTCAGGGAAACACTCATTTCTCTTTTATGACAAGTCATGTTATATGCTGCATACTACTGACTGTATTTTATGTGTTCTTGAGTAATATCTTCAATCAGAGTACAAAGTTTAGGAAGATTGTTAGGATAAGGTATCACATGCAATCATTATTTACACACATATGTGTATTATTTATGTCTATTCAGACATAATCATCTAGACAAATAAACATCTAGACAATCTTGTAGGTTTAAGTCGCATATCGTGTCTGAAATGATTTCCTCATTCGCTCATTCACTGAAATGATTTCCTCATTCGCCTTTGCTGTCAGTTTTCCACATTTGCTTGCAGCTCGTTCTTAAACTATTCTCTTCCTGCAGCCTCAAATGGATGAAAAGATCCAGCTCGGCCCCCGGGCTCAAGTCACGTGGGTAAAGGGCAGCAGTGGAGGAGCCAAGGCCAGTGACTCAGGTAAGATTATCTGAAGCAAGACCACAGTGGCTCCAAGCATTGCAGTAGCAGGAATTGGCAATCTTTACAGGCCAGAAAAGACAGTGAATATGACATTACATGACATTGCATTTAGCTGATGCTTTTATCCATAGCGACTTACAATAAGTGCATTCAACCAAGAAGATACAAACTAGAAGAAAACAGAATCATATAAGTACATCAGGTTTCATAGAGCCAAAACATTTCAAGTGCTACTCAACTGGCTTTAGATAAGCCAGTCCTTTGTTAGTATATAAGTGCTTTGTTAGCAATTCTATTGCTCGAAGTGGAGTCGAAAGAGATGAGTTTTCAGTCTTTGCCGGTGTGTAAGCTTTCTGCGGTCCTGATGTCAATGGGGAGCTGATTCCACCATTTAGGAGCCAGGATAGCAAACCGACGTGTTTTTGCTGATGGGAACTTGGGTCCCCCTCGCAGTGAGGGTGCAGCGAGCCATTTGGCTGATGCAGAGCGGAGTGCACGTGCTGAGGTGTATGGTTTAACCATGTCCTGGATGTAGGAAGGGCCAGATCCATTCACAGCATGATATATATATAAATAGTTTATAACAGAGTTATAATAAAATAAACATTTTGTATTGTGAGTCATCCAATCTAAATATTCTTCATCACTCGATGAGGTCGATTGTTGACTGGTTCAACAAGCATCCAAATTTGAGTTGAAATCATTGTAAACTTCTTTAAAATAATGCTAAATGGGTCATTAAACCTCTGTTTTTCCAACTTTAGATTAAAATGGAAAGAGGTTGCATGTTTGTGTTATTATAGATTATAGATGGCCTAAATGTGAGGTTAAGATGTCAGCATGTCCTAACAAAATGTGACGTGTTGTCCAATCATATCTGGAATGACATTTCATGGTTTTACATAAGTAAACAGAAAACAGAGAGGTTGATATTGTCAAGTATGATCATATTATAAATTGAAATGAAATGCATTGTACGAGGTTTGTATAGTATTACAAAATATCAAAAGTCGGGAGGGAGGGAGATTTTCTTCCTCTCTAGACATATTAATCGAGAATATTTATTGTATATAAAGTGTTTTAAGTGACACATTCTCTCTAATAATACCGGCTCATTTTGCTTTATTTTTTTACCTTTATAACAGAACTATCACGGACGGCCGGCCTCAACCGTTACTCTGCGCTGCAGTCTACTCCTTCCCCTCAACCCTCCACCACTCCTCCACAGAACACAGACGCTGACCCCAGGAGAACTCTGGGAAGGTAAAGATCAACATCAATCAATTGTCTCTGACCTCTTGAGATTGGCCTCTCAGTGTGTTTCTGATCGTTCCCCCGGATACAGAAAACTGTTTCCTTTATTCCCCTCCAGCAGTCGTAGCAGTGTGGGGAGAGACCGCGGTGAGAAGCCCCTGATCTCCACCCCTCCATCGTCACGGCCCGGACCCTTCACCAGGGGAGGCAGTTCCAAGGAGCTGCTGGAGAGTCCGACCCCCGAGGAGCCGCGCAGAGAGCCGGAGCGAGAGGGAGCCGAGCCCCGGAGACCGAGCGTCACCGAGGACAAGACGGAGCCGGAGCGCAGAGTCAGAGAGCCGGGTGAGGGGCAGAGCTGCAGCACACCGGACACGCATGGAAATCATATTTAAATATAAACTTCAGAGGCAACACACTGATGTTTGAGCTCTATGATTTTAAGCCATGAACAGGTTTTATTTTATATCCAAAAATCTTGGATGTAATGAATGTATTACCAACTGCAGGTTGAAAACAAAAGAAGTTTACAAAGATATCAATTAGTTTATATTTTCAACAGACTCTGCTAATAATCTGTGATGATTATACTTATACTAATCTAAATAGACGAATAAATGTGATTCATACAGAGAAGATCAGACCTGGATCTTCATGTTGCTCTCCCCTCTGATGCCCCTTTCACACCAACGCGGTTCCCGTTCTAGCTCCGTGCTAGCGCTCTTCTGGTTCGGAACCGGTTTTTCTTTTCAGCCCCCGTTTTGTTCACACTGCCCAGAGCCCGACTCGTGCTGCCGCGGCTGCGTCATGACGTCACCGTTTACGTCGGGTCGATGATCGTGTTGCTATTAATCATACGAAGCCAGATTCAATTCAATAACTACTTCTCAACCCTTATACTTTTCTCCAGAGAGCCGTGGTTCATTGTTTATTAATGTGTTTCAGCGGCATTTACCGACCGCTGCAGTGCTGCCCGCTGTTTGGCATCACAACGCTGTTATGAAAGTTTCTCTGGTATAAAATGGGTGATGTTAGCATAGCAACCGAAGCTAAACTGACTATCTTGACTACTTGTTGCTATCCTATTGTGGCCTAAGCCGTTTTCTACAGGCCCATTTTACCGGCGTATTTTTCATTATGATTCTACTTGTGATAGTCGGACATGACAACCTGTGCAGCCCATGTATTGATTCCATCCGATAGCTGCTATAATAACAAACAAAACGTCTGCCTGCTCTCCACAATGATCAATAACAGCGAACGGATGGTCAAAGTAAGGTACAAATAAACAGAATCACACGAAGCCTGGTTAGTGTTGCCTGACTTTATAAAGCGTGTTTTTTTTTTTACAAGTGTGTGGTTGCGTTCTAGTCACTTTGCTCAGCGCTACTGCTGGTTACAACTTGTATTTGCCGTACTCGCCATAAACTGTTAGCTCAGGTTAATCCCGCCCCTGTCCCTGCCCCCGCCTCCGACGTAAGCGCGACGTATGCGGTTCTTGTGAAAGGGGCAAGACAGACACTGTTTTTATTGTCGTTTTTTTTCGATCAACAGTGAAAGCTGAGCCAGTGGTCCCGACTTCAGACAGACCTGCTCTCTCTGAGGAGGAGATCGAGAGGAAGTCCAAGTCCATCATCGACGAGTTCCTGCACATAAATGACTACAAGGTACCGAGATTCACAAGAAGATAGATCCAACATTAGATCCCTGTTTAGTAGGTGCCATGTTTGAATGTAAGTTAACAAACTTGGTGCTTAGAAGGATGTTAATGAGAAATCAATGATTGTTTCTTCTTTATCACTGAGCCTGCAACAATAACCAACATAATTCAAAAGCATGTTGTGTTTCAGTCTCCCTTCTCTTACCAGTAACTAGGGATGCTCCGATCGCCAATTTTGGGGCCGATCGCCGGAATCAGTATCGGCCGATACCGATCGAGTGGGCGGGGCCTATGGGGATCTTCCATTTAAAGTCATGTTTAAAACTCAGTTAATGGGGCTCATTCACTGGAGCTTCCACAAACAACAACCAACATAATTATATCATTCAAATGAAATACATTATTCAAGTTTACATTCACTTTGGATAATAACACGGGAGAAATGAGCGGAAGCGCTCTCTTTTCCTCTCTCCCCCTCTCTCCCCCTCTCTCTCTCCCCCTCTCTCTTTTCCTCTCTCCCCCTCTCTCTCTCCTGACAGCCTGTCAGTATCTCCTGCAGCTCACTGATCCAGTAATGAGTGACCCGACAGTGAAGAATAAATATATTTATAACTAGTTTAGCTTGTTCCAGAGGTAGATCAAATAGCTAAGTGTGTTAGGTCTAACTCTTAGTGTGTGTTTCGCTCCGCTCACCGGTCCGTCACAACGGGTGGAGCTGCAGGATTTCTGCTTCACACACACGTTGCATACCGCTATTTTACTGTCTTTTTCGGACACCTTAAAATACTGCTAGACTGGTGAAGCCGTTTTGGCGAGCTTGTTTTGCCGCGCACAGAGAAAAGTGTCATGTATTTTACGTCATCATTTTACGTCATCATTTTACATCATGCGATCGGTTCTCGCGATCTGCATTTTTAGAGAGCACCGATCAATCGGCAGAGAGTGAGTATCGGCCGATATGGATCGGAGCATCCCTACCAGTAACACTCATTCTGAATCCCATTCCCTTGTGTCCCCAGGAGGCTGTGCAGTGTGTGGACGAGCTGGACCTGAGCTCTCAGCTGCACGTGTTTGTGCGCATCGGGGTGGAGTCCACGCTGGAGCGCAGTCAGATAACCCGGGACCACATGGGCCAGCTCCTCTTCCAGCTGCTGCAGCGCGGCATTCTGCCCAGAGCCCAGTTCCACAAAGGGTCAGTTCACCTGCTCTGAATGTACTCCACATCTCAATCAAGAACATAATGTGAACAAGGCTTGATCATTAACTCTCCAGAAAGCCTCTTTTGTTATGGTGTCTTTCTAAATGATCTTAATTTACTTTCAGTCTCACTTCCTGTCAGCTTCATCAGACTTCATTGACATCTCTTGCAGCCTTTCTGTTCTGTATCCTGCCAACAAGCACTTCTTGCTTGTTTTTGATTTTGTTCAAAGTATCCATTGTCACTAATTAAAACTCGAATTGTGTCTGTATTGTTGTTTGTCCGCAACTTTCTACCAGGAGATTGTCAGACCTGTTCAGTGTTTTGTTGAAAGTCTACCAGAAAAGAAAAGTAAAAACTTGCACTTAAATGTTTTCACTAAAGGTGTTCCCCTGGGATCTGTCACTGGCTGTGTTGCTTTCCCTCAGTAACTAAAGATCTATAGAAACTGAAAATAGGTCAGAGATGAATTTGGCCACGTTTCATTATTCTTTTAGAGAAATCTGTTTCAATGTGTTTCTAATGGAAAACCACCATCAAGTGGTTTCCCATTAGAAACACATTGAAAGGAAACGTCCGTATTGAAGGGTTAGGGTTATGTAGGTCATGTTGGACATGTAGGTCAAACATGTTGCTAATCTATATCAATGGGACACAAAATGGGAAAACCCTATTTTATTTCTTTAGTGTACTCTGTAAACTTAAAAGAAAACACCATTGAAGGTTAGCTGTTGGTTTGATACTGTAAATCAGTTTACAGCTCTGTAAAACTTAAAAGCGTGTATCTGACATGATTTTAAATGAATTTGAATATAAATCAACATATTATAGGTTCTCAAATATAATCAAATGTGTATTTTAGCAGCTTTGTGTTTAATTTGTGGTTATACTTACAATACATGTGCAATCCCAGTTGTCTATTTCCAGAGTACAGGAACAGTAATATAGTTCTTAATATAAAGATCCAGTGTGTCTTTTTGTTTTAGGTTTGCAGACATGCTGGAGCAGGCGGACGACATGGCCATCGACATTCCCCACATCTGGCTGTACCTGGCCGAGCTGCTCAGCCCCGTGCTGAAGGAGGGGGGCTTCTCTATGAGAGGGCTCTTTAGGTTAGTCATTTACTCCAAAACTAAATGAGAACATATAATACAAATGAACTTAACCCTCCTATTGTCTTCGTTTCCCCCCCCTTACTTTGGTGTTCGCGGTCAAATTTCACCGGTCCTGTTTTAACTGCTATTACATTAACACAAAAACAATGAACCATCACCAAATTTCATTTAACACCCTTTCAAACTGTAAATATTGTATCAGACTACTGGTATACATGAAAAACTGCAGTAAATATACAAAGAATAGACACTGAACATGTATTGCGTGTGCCAGGTGTGATCCATGTGGGGGGGATGGGCACATAAGAGCAGGAAATGGGTCAAATTGTTCTGTGTGTTTGTGTGTGCCAGGTGTGATTCACATGGGGGGGGATTGGGCACATAAGGGGGGGGGGGCACATCTAGAGTATGTGTGTATGTGTGTGTGTGTGTTTTATCTGATCCGGATGGTTACTAATTCCTTTTCTTTATGGCGGTCATTTTTGACCGGGAACACCATGGGTGTTACAAAGTTGACTAAATCATCCAAAATTCAATGAAAGTGGTGATCAGCAATTTTATATGTTCAAATGTCTAATGTGAAGGATATCATAAAGCCTTAATGTAATCGAATGTAAAACAAAAGAGTTATGATTGATGAAAGTAGTAAATCGGTCAGATTTGACCCGAAGACAACAGGAGGGTTAAATGTGGTGCATTTGCTCAGGATAAAATGTGACACAGGGTTGGTGGAGGAAGTAGCTAAGATTTTTTTACTTTGTTTATCGTCACAGGAAATCTGATCAATATTTTCATAATGAACAAAATTACTTAGTTGATACTTTACTTTTTTCTAGCTTATGTTATGGTTTCCTGTGCTCATTTCCAAGATACATTTTTAGTCCTGTTTTGGAGACATTTTAAATTTGAACAGGAACTTAGAGTTGCACAGTATAATGTATTAAGTGTGAGTGTCCTAATGTGTTATTTAACTTCGCCATTCTTCTGTATGAGTGAAAGGGAGGATTGCATTTAATCTGTGGTCTTGGTCTGTTCACAGTGAATTAAGCAAACCTTTGCTTCCTGTGGGAAGAGCTGGGATCTTAATTTCTGAAATACTGCACATACTATGCAAACAAATGGTAAGCAACACTTTATTTTCAATTTTGTAATTATGTTACCTGCTTTCATTATGGAATGGACTTCTGGGTATTATTCAACAGGTTATTTTGCCGTTTGGTTTTTTAGCCTGTTTTGGCACATTTGGCTTTCGGCCTGTCCTGGACACCAGACAGAAATGAGTTGTTTCAGAGAACAGATGTGCGATGTTGTCTCTTTGGTCTCTACAGAGCCATAGGACTGTGGGTTCTTTGTGGAGGGAATCTGGCCTCAACTGGACCGACTTCCTGCCAGAGGGGGAGGACGTCCAGGCTTTCATCTCACAACAGGTTGGTTTTTGTATAATTGTATTTTTACTGAGTAACTGGGAGTTACAAAGTTTCATATCTTTCAAAAAATAAATATATATTTATATTGTTTTTGAATACAATATTATAATGAACAAAATAATGAATACATACAAATATAATCAATAATAAATACATTTAATTAAGGAATCACAGGAAGACTTAAAACAACAAAAATGTGCTGCAAAACAGTTGTCATGACATAATATTGCTTAAGATGGTACTGAGTGTTTCCTCAGATGTTTGGATGCTGGGTGATTAGATGTTTGTGGCTCCACTCTATCTACAGAGCTTCATCAAATGTGCCTCATATATTTGAAATAGTTTCTCCTTATTCTTGTCTTATGATATTGTTTTTTCAATGTTTAAGTAACATTTCATTAACTTTTTCCACTTTACAGTTTTCTTAATCGTATTGAATCCCAATAAGTCACCTCATTATACTCCCGTCCCCTTCTCCATCGTTTCTCCTCCACCTTCTTCTTTTCATTTCCTGATCATGTTTTTTTTTGGCACTTTCCCATCATACTGATGTCCTCTCGTCTTAATACAGAAACTCCAGTTCGTTCTGTCGGACGGCTCCAGTCCGGAGACGGCTCTGTCCGGAAGGATCTACTCTCCTGAGGAGCTGAGTCAGCAGCTGGAGAGACTCCTCCTGGAGGACATGGCCAGCGACGAGCAGATCTTTGACTGGGTAGAGGTAAGAGAAGTGGCAAAGAAAAACATTAAACCTTGTAAGCTGTGTGCCTTAATTCAGAGGGGTGGTCCTTTTATCAGTGTCTGCTTTGTCTCTATATTTAACATGCTAGCTAGTTATTATCTGCCATGTCACTTTTGCTGTAATGTTGTACATTTCCCGGCTGCGTGACTAATAAAGGAATTCTGATAATCAATGACCCATAGAACTCTGGCACTGAACCTTTTCATAGGCCGTTTTCAAAGCCATGTGAAACTGTATGTGTTTTGTCTTTCTCCCCCAGGCAAACCTAGATGACTCTCAGATGAGCTCGTCCCCCTTCCTGAGGGCTCTGATGACAGCTGTGTGTAAGGCAGCAGTGAAAGGTAAGCACTCCACCACCTGGAGGAGAGACTCGTCTAATTTAAAAAAATGGTGCCGCTGATTGCAATATTTACTCTGTGCCAAGCATGTGCTCACTCTGCCTCTCGCTTCACCGAACAGATGATAACACCAACTGTCGAGTGGACACGGCCATCATCCAGAGGAGATTGCCTGTATTACTCAAGTACCTTAACTCAGACACTGAGCGACAGCTGCAAGCACTTTATGCACTTCAGATGCTGATCGTCGCACTCGATCAGCCTCCAAGTAAGTGCTGCGTCTCAGCTTCATCAGGAGGAGGTGGGAGGAGGAAACTAAGATTTATATTCCTTCAGCTTAGTTTTTTGAGTCGTTTTTCAAGTTATAACATTCAAATACAAATAATAGATCAAATGTATAGTCTTTACTTTTTAAGTTGCGTCAAACCATATCAAGTTTTTCCTGAGCTAAAATGTTATTACACCTTTTAAATGAAATTAAAAAAACTAAAACATATATATGCATAATAATCCCAAACCACATTAGTGTTCATACCTGGTTTTTATATTTGTTAAACCAATCATAGTACCGATCATGACCAGTAAATGGATGTCCGCATGTCATATCTACTGTATTTCCACTACAACAAACATTAGGAACTATCCTCAGAGAGCTTACAGCATTGGACAGACGGCACAGTATTCACTAAAGCCAGAATTTTAATAATGACATACTAATATACACAAAGTACCATAAATACTAAAGCTCAAAGCAGTAACAGAGTACAATAAACGTGCATTAATAATTATAGAGTAAATCACAATCCAAACAAAAACATTTACCTTGAAAGGGTTTACAAGTAAAAGACCTTCAGGAAATGTATTTATTTTAAAGCTCTGAGATGTGAAACAGTTGTCCACACCTCCCCCAGAGGGCATCTCCTCAGAGGGGAGCATCTGCACCAGCAGGATGCCTCCACTGGATCTTTTGAATGAATGTAATAATATAGATGTTCATGGGGGGTTACTGCAGCAGAATGGAAAGTCATGTTTAAGATAGCCTCATCTCAAATCAGGAATCATTTTCAGTGCAAAGAAAATGACTGGTGTTAATTTCCCTAAAGACAAACTATGACTAAATATGGTTGTCAACAAACTTTTTTACCTGACAAGACACCGCCAACATAATTTCACACTTGCTGTGACTATTTCAGTATGCATATTGTTTACTGAGCTTAAATATTGTTAATGAGGACAAACTAAAGAAATATTATAGAAGGTTTCTTATGAATGCAACAGTTCCGCTTTCTACGTAACACCGGCAAAGAGCACAGTCGGGAGTAATCCGATTACATTTTTTTAATTAAGTTAAAGGTAACAATGACAACAATGGGGATTTTTAGAAGACATGTTGATATTCTGGTTACACTAGATTGACTGAAATGGACTTTCAAATCTGATGGCTAAAAAGAACAAAAACTCAGTTGAATTCATTGACAAATATATATATATATTTTTTCAATCTTCTCAAAAATGGCCCGACTTTTAATAAAACTTCTTCAACTTAAAAAAAAACAATCAGGATGAGGTTTAATATTATGAACAAAAGATCACATTTGTACAAAACTAAGACAAGTAGCTGACAAAGTTAACACCGCTGGTCTCTTTGTGTTGCAGACCTCCTCCGGATGTTCTTTGACTGTCTGTATGACGAGGACGTGATCTCGGAGGATGCTTTCTACAAGTGGGAGACGAGCAAAGACCCTGCCGAGCAGGAGGGGAAGGGAGTGGCCCTCAAGTCTGTTACGGCCTTCTTCACCTGGCTGCGGGAAGCGGAGGAGGAGTCGGAAGATAATTGACGAGGAACACACCCAGGGGGAGGGTGGGGCAGGGCGTAGAAGAACTGCATACTTACAGCAGAACAAACAAACTTTCGAAATGGGTGTATGGGCAGGACGACATGTTTTACGGCTGGAATTTTTTTCTGCGGTACGGTTCTGAAACATGCCGCCATTTTGAGTTTGGATTCCAACAGCTGAAGCACTAAATACCTGTATTATACATAGAAAATATTTTTGTTTTAAATTTTAACTTACGTTTGTTTTGTTACTTTTTAAGAAGAGACTTAAAAGATACATAGGTTCCGGACTCTTTAATTTATTATTTTTTTAAGGACTGCAAATATGAAAGTTATTTAACATTTGCAGATGCTCACAAATGAGAACAACAACAGAAATAACAATATAATTAATTATAATAACAAAATAATAATTGTGAAATAAATAGCCTCCCTGGATTCCACACTGTTTGGTTTAAAACAGGGTAAACAAAGTTATTTTGGGATGAAGGGGAAGCAGAGTTAAAGAAGAGTGGATGCACAGAAACTATTAACGTTGTCCGTGTTTGACATTTCCAGGTCCAAGTCTTCTCCTAACAGGCAGAAAGTGTTTCCCTCAGCCTTGGCTTGCTCTACGTTGATATACATAAGCCTCATGAGAGGTTAGAGGTATGCATTCAAGAAGCAATGCAGGTCTGTCCACAGAACTTTCAAAACAAACGCAGACAAACAAACCGGATACATTCAAATGAAACGAGCAAAAAATGCAACATTAAAAAGCAAATGGCCAGGGTCACTCAACGTGAAATGCTTGTAATACTTCAAACTACAGAGCAGATAAAACTTGTAAATACATTAAAGACAAAAAAGGTATTTAAAAAGTGATTGTCATGATTTGTTCTTTTGATTGTTGGTGTCAAAATATATGTTGCTATATTTGTTTCTTTTAGTCTCTCTGATACAAATGAATCTGTGTGTTTTCAGTTTTTCCCTTTTTGGACAGCCGGTCCTCAGAAGAAGCTGAAGGATGTTTCAGAGTAGCTCCAGCCACTGATTTGTTCTGCTGAGCCTTTAAAGCATACATTGTTATACATGTTTTACTTTTCTATCATTGCCAGAGCTTTAAAATACTTGTGGCACTTAATTCTGGCTCACATTTGCTCACACTTCTGACTATATTTTGTGTAGACCCACTTGAGTAGCATGTATATTCATAATAAGCGAGTAGTTACATGGTTATCTGATCACCAAATTTGTCCTGACCGGTCTCTGGAGAAGTGTTTTTACAGTAGTTTACTTTTTTTGGGTCACACAAAAAGCATTTTAAGGTACCCACAGTGAACATGGTGACTGAAACTGACAAAGTGGCACAAAGTTCCAGCTTCACAATTGTAATTAATTGCTGCTACTCTGTTTTTGTACTATAAGGACAAAAACAGAAATATTATTAAGTCAATTTAGGACGATGTGACGGCCATCTTTCACAATTTTCAAAAAAGAACAATAATCCAGTAGTTGTGAAATAATTGGTTGATAAGTTAAACATGACATTACATAATAATTACATTATGGTCCAAATTTAAACCACAAATAATGATCAGGGTATTAAGAACATTGAAGTATTTGTTAAGCGATAATTTTCTTGTTTTTTTCTTTAAGGGCTTAATTTAAAACTTCCCACAAAGATGAAAGGATTTTTCTAATGTTTAAATGTCTGTTTTACGATTAATTTGTGACCAATACTGGTATTCATAAGAGCTGCGTTCCTAGTCGTTTTCGCTTTGTTTGTTTTTAGATGACTACATCTCCCATGAGTATTTGCCATGCACTACTATCCAAAACATTATGAGAGCTGTAGTCTTTAATACACTACGTTAATAATTGATTTATCTTGATTAAATTCAAAGTGTGCTCGAATTATATTGACCTGTACGGTAGAACATGTCGAATTGACTCAAAATATGGAAGTATTACTTCGATTTGAATGTTTATAGAAATACTTTAAAAGATAAAAACGTTGGTTTGCTAGCTAGCCTCGGTGAGAAAGTACAAGAAATGTAAACTGTTAATGACGGCGGCCATGACAGTTGGGATCCTTCGACGTGCAGCTGCGTGACGCTGCGTGACCAACGGTCTTTGGGGCGGGACTCGTCGTAAACGGAAATCTAAATAAAGGATCGTGCAGAATTTTCTTCAAAGTAACACACTTTTTCTCCACTAGTAAAAGGTAAGTTGTATTCGCGTTATGGTACGTTACTAGCTCAATGTGTGTTTGCACGGATGCGAAGCTGGAGAAAAGCGTAGGCCGGTGTTTTTTCCCCCCATGCAACTGAAATGAATTTTATCTGCCTTGTGCGACGCCATTACTCTGTGTATACCAAACGGACAAAATGGCGAAATTGCCCTAACATTTCTGGCAACTCATCTTCTGGCTCACGTGAAAAATGTTTGAAATGTATCGGCGTAGGCTCGAGTATAAGCCGGAAAGCAGTGCATGTCTTGAAGTGGTTGCATTTTGTGAAAACACACAGGCGCATTTTCTTCTGTTTTAATGATAATGGGCCTCAATGAATGAAGTGGGTTTGGCAGTGTCGCCATGTTTATACACGCACGTACACAGAATGAGTCTAAAAAAAACGGTGTGTGCTAATGAGCTTTCCTCCTGGTTTGTGGATACATTTTTATTTTCCTCACCCAGGCAAAGCTGGTGTGATGCCGATACGCCGAGCAGCAGCGTCTTCAACCCCGGAGAAGGCCCCCTCCGCTGCAGCAGAGGAAGGTGAGGCTGGGGTCGTCCATCACCTGAACTAAAGACCCGTGAATGCACCGTCATCACTGACACACAATTAACTGGCAGTCCAGTATTCAGCTCATGAGGGCATGCAAAGTTGGTTTATGCCAACGTTTCTGGACCTGAGAAGTGTCAGAATCAAACAATGCAATATGTTTGGTGCTTACATGCAGAGTTTAATTACAGCGGGGTAAAACAATATATTAGAGAAACATTTTTATGTTTGACAAGCAGCAGGAATCAAATAAGGGAGTTATAAACATGCAATAAGAAGACATATCAATTAATATTATATTTCAAATAAGCATTAGTTGTGTCTTTATGTGGGATATTGAATATTGCATTTTCGTAAAAGATATTGGGAATCACGGGAATAGTGATTTAATGTGACACACCTAATGACTTTATGAAACAGGTATTTGTTTAGCATTTATTAATAGTCTATCTGACATTAACACAAAGGTGATTAATCCATATTTATTGTTTCAAATACTATTATTTATGTTTTACACCACATTTTTACGTCATAAATAACAGCCATAATTATTTGAATATATGTAATCAAAAATAACATTAACTTTTTACTTTTACAATGAACTTTTACAAAAGACTGTGTGCCCCTTTAAATATCTGCTTACCACGTACAGCCAGCTGGCCCTTCGTGGCTTAACTACAACAGATAATGGTCTATCAGTAATAACAAGGCCAAGTAGTTCACCACAGTATCAAAACAAGGAAAATCACATCCCGAAAAAACGAACAATCCTGCATCAACCTGATCAGTGCCATAAGCCTTCAAGGCCCTTTAAGTGCATTTTTTATAACGAAATACATTTATGTGCACATAAAACAGTTTTGAACCAAAACAAGTTGCTAACATTTATTTCTGGATGTTAACAGGTATTTATTAAACCATTTACATATTACTTATACATATTTGACTGACTTTGCAATTCAAAAATGCTGCTGCAGTGGCTTTTCTTGATAGAGGTGAATGACATTTTTCATTATTAATTCCTGAAGGAGAACAAACGAAATGGGAGGATGTTTACGTAGTGGAATAATCAGTCAACTACATTAAAAAAATAGCATTTGTTGGGTTTTTCTTTCGCTAAATTTCAATGGTTTCCTCCTCCTCAGAGCCTGAAGCGTCCTCAGAGGAGTCTCCCTCCAATGAAGATGAGCAGGCTGCACCCTCAGCTACGCCCGACCAAGTGACTGATGGCGAGGCGGCGGGGGACAAGGAGCCCACAGAGAACGGAGAGGAGGCTGAAGGAGCCACGGCAGAGAAGGGAGGAGAAGAGACGGATAAGAAAGAGTGAGTTTCACCAGAGAGCTAGTGTAACTCTGAACGCTGCGATATTTCACTCTGATAGCACTTTTATCTGTTTACATGATCCTTACCTCTGCTGGATAACAGTAGTGTTGCATTCCCAAAGGATGTGACCTGTCACAGCCACATTCATGAGAAACATTCCAGACAGATGTAGCCGTCCCTTTGTCCGCAGTCTCGGAGGAGTTCAGGAGGAGAGGGCGCAAGGGTCATGAAAGTCTGGCGATTTGATTCCAGCTCAGTCCACATATGAAATCTAAAACAACAGCTACGTACTTAAAACATTTTTATTTGCCGTCTTATTCACAAAAAAAGTTCAGAATTTTCAGAAAAAGTTTTCAGTTTAATTTTAGATTATCAAATAGTTTTCTCGCTTCTAAACCATTATGGATAGATTTTCTTTTGACTATTTCTCATAAAGAAATACTTAGATATTTAAAGTCAACAATTGGCAGGGGGGTAAAACTCCAAATGTAGGTGATCAAGTATAAACAACATTTAATAACAATACCCCCCAACTTCTCCTCCCTTTCTTCTCCCAGACCTCGACAAAGCAAACATTTACTCTTCTGCACGTAGTACACTAGACTAGCGGTTCATGTAGGGTCAAATTACCATGGTGATCATTCAGACCGATGTTCTCAAACTTAATTTTGTCTTTTCCGTCGGTGACAAAGGGACAAATGCAAGGACTGCGCGGCTGGACAGTGTGCAACACACTGCTATGTTCTCCTACTAAGGTGAGGATGTGATAAAGATAAGGGTGGTAACGATCACAGTGAAATATCGCTTCTAAAAGAACAAACCTCTTCACTGACCTCGTGTCTTGCTCCTCATCTTTTTTGGTGGCAGGTTGAAGGATGGCTACAAGTACAAGAAAGGGAAAAGCAAGAAAGTGAAACGGACCATTCCTGCGTGGGCTAGCGTCGCTGCCAGCAAAAAGCTTCCTGTTACCAACTATGCAGGCACTCAGAACAAAGTGAATGATATCCTCGTTGAAGCGATCACGGTGTGTACGAACTCCTTAAATCACCTTTTTAGTTAGTTTTTTCTCTTTTTGTTTAACGACAACCTTTGTGATATCTTGTCCTCTTTCTTTACAGTCCTGTAATGACAAGTCCGGGGTTTCATACCAGTCCTTCATGAAATATATTTTGAAGAAATACCCCGAGATGGACATTCACAAGAAGAAGTTTCTCATCAAGAAAGCAATGAAGAAACATTTGGAGAAGGGCACCATCAAACAGGTAAAGAATGTTATCTGGGGGTTATTAGGTTTAATTAGTATTTTAATAATATAGATACATAGCTAAAGCATACAGTTTAAACATACACATTACCAAAATCATTGTTTTCCCTCCTGGAACATTAATTAGACACTTGAAATACAACTGAACAATAATCCTGTACACAGGTATTTCATTCTAAACTCGGTGGCTATCCAGGATATCGAGTTTGACTGGTTTTGTTGGATTGTAAACTATCTCAAATCCATTAAAGAGCAAGATAGCGCTGCTAATGTTAACCTATAGTCTGATGGCATCCAGGTTCAGCTCCCACACATACTATACATGGGATGTTGTAGATGTGAACAGACTTTATTTCAGTGTTACTAACCTACAAATAAGGCACTATGTAGCATTAGGCACGTTCACACCGGAGTACTTTTACCCGTACTTTTCCCATTTAGTTCCGATAGTGCCTGGAATTTTGCATTCACACCAAAAAGAGTACTTAGTTCCGAGAACTTTTACCCC